GGAGTCAGATGATGATGGTCGCCGCCATCTCCAGTTGTCGTACGACTTTGTCGACCAGGATGGTTCCTCTGTGTGTCTCTGGGCGCATTGGCAGAATGGCCCCCGCCGCCGAGCATTGCCGTAAGGTGGCGCGTTTGCGGTGTCGCGGTCGCGGTCACGAGGGAGGCGCGTTCGAAGGATCGAAGACAGACCATATATGGGTGCAGAGACTGGCTTCGTGTTCGGATGCTGCTGGGCCGGGCCTTGCTCTTCCCTCGACATCGACGACGACGACGACAACGACGACGACAAGATAATGACCTCCAGCTGCGACAATTACGGGCTTTTCAATGGTTCGTCCTGCAACTGCCCGCCTGGCTTTGGCGGCTCGTCCTGCTCCCAGCCCGCGTGCGGAGGCAACGTCTTCCAGGGCTCCGCCCGTCCCTTGGCCTCTTCACCGGGCAGCTCTCCGTCTTTCCCCAATATCACCGGATGCGCGTGCGAGAGCGGGTGGACCGGAACAGGCTGCAACGTCTGCCAGAGCTCAGACGCCTGCCAGTCCGCCTATGCGGCCACTGGGCACTCGTCCTCGGGCCTGTCGAGCGGAGAAAACGACACTCTCACGTGCAATGCACACTCGAGAGTATACGCCGCAGGGCAGATGAGCTGCTCCGTACAGGTGCGTGGCCATGCGACGCCGTGCATGGCAGCCGTCTGATCCCACAGCAGAATCCGACCCTCCAAGCGATATACCCCTTATCGTCGACGCTGAACATCCTCCGTACGCTCAACCCGTCGCTCACCCCTCTGCCCAACATGACCGGGTTCGGCTCGTCCGGCTCCGTCTACGCACAGCTCTTCTATGACGGCGTCGAGCAATTCGACTGCACCGCCGACTCCTGCACGCAGGACACCACCGACGCCACGGACGGGAGCTCCAAGTGGACGTGTCAGAACCTGCGCTGCACATGCATCCCGGGCACGTCGTTCTGCGGCGGCGTCCCCGTCTCCAACCTCACGGCCATCATCGACGGTCTCTCGGGCACCCTCGTGATCGCCTGCGCCGCACCCTCCGCGGGCAGCACCACGGCGAGCTGCACGTTCCAGCAGTCTACTATCGCCTCCGTCTTTGGCTCCTCCGGTCTCGCTCTCAGCGGCTGTGCGTTTGGCGAATGTGTCAGCCAAGATGTCGTCGACACCGTCTCGTCCAATACTACTTCCTTGGCAGGCGGGGTGAGCAGCAGAAAATCCTTGAGTGGCGGCGTGATTGCCGGCCTCGCTGTCGTCGGCGGGCTCATCGCGCTCGCCCTGTTCTTCCTCCTATACGGCTGGTACAGACAGCGGAGAGCGCGGAAGCTTGGACCTGGTGGTGCGAGTCGCGCCGGCGGCGTTACAGTAGAGTGGTCGGACGTCAGCTACTTTGTCCCCGCGGCGGATGACCAGCGATCAAAGTGGACGGAGAGTCCGCTGAGGCGGCGAAGAAATCGTAAGGACTTGAATGGCCACAAGGCAGTTCTCGACAATGTAACTGGTCGTGTGTCGCCAGGCGAGGTGATGGCCATAATGGGACCAAGTGGCAAGTGCGTCCTTCTGTTTGATGTCGCTCTGCTCATCCTCGACCCCAGGCGCGGGGAAGACCACGCTCATCGAGATCCTAGCCAGAAAGCAAAAGTCGGGCCAGACCACTGGTTCGGTCTCTGTCTTGCGCACTGCATCCGTCGGCAACAGCGGCGCATCCCGGGTGCCCCACATTGGATTTGTGCCCCAGCAGGACGTTCTCCCCCCAGTGCTCACGGTGCATGAGGCGCTGCTGTTCGCCGCGCGTCTGCGCCTTCCCGAGAGCATCCCGGCGTCGGAAAAGCGTGCGCGCGTCGACGCAGTCGTCTGCCAGCTCGGCCTGGCGCATATACGCGACGTCCGGATCGGCGACGGCGAGACACGCGGAATCAGCGGCGGCGAGATGCGCAGGGTGAGCATCGGGCTCGAGCTCGTAGCGCGCCCCGACGTGCTCATCCTCGACGAGCCGACGAGCGGCTTGGATTCGGTCTCGGCACGGAAGGTGGCGGAGGTTCTCGCCACACTGGCGCACGACGAAGACAGCCCGACGGCAGTCGTCGCGTCGATCCACCAGCCGAGGTGAGCGCATATCCCCAGGGCGGGCAGGCACGGCGGCGTTGACGCACGCTTCCTCTTGCCCCCAGCTCGCAGCTGTTCCGCACCTTTGACAGGATCCTGCTCCTCGCGCACGGCCGTGCACTTTACTGCGGTCGTGGCGGGTTTGCACCAGCAGAGCACTTCGCCGCACGGGGTATTCCGTACACGGAGGGATACAACGTCGCGGACTACCTCCTCGACATTGCCAGCGACCCGCCTGTCGGCCTATTCCATACTGCTGAGGGCAGTGAGAAGACCAGCAGCCCAGAGCTCGCCGAGAAGCCGCATGGCGGCGAGGACCTGACTGTCGTAGATGAGGCGGAGAAAGGGCTTAGGGCGGCGCTTCGGCCATTGTCTGGAGAGAGGTATGCGACCACATTCCTGACGCAGCTGCAGGTTCTGTCCGGCAGGGAGTGGAAGATCCTGGGGAGGTACGTGTTCAGTCGGGCACGATTCGCGATATGGCGAACTTCAAACGCATGACTTCAGGGACAAGACGTTGTTTTTCACTCATATCGCAGTAGCCTGCGTGCTGGGGGTGTTTTGTGGTGCGCATCATCGCGGCGTGATGTCGAGACTATTGTTGACGACATTGTTCAGGTGGCTTGTACTATAAGACTGGCGTCACCATCGCGGGGTTCCAATCGCGAGTGGGATGTCTGTTCTTCCTCGTCAGTATAGAGTTTTGAAGAAATGCGACGTCTGGTGCTAACCTGCAAATATCCCTCGCGGTTCATGTTTTACAGGGCGCACTTATCGCTTTCTCGTCGCTCAGCGCGCTGTACAACGTCGTGACAATAAGGCCGCTGTTTCTGCGAGAAAGATCAGCGTCTTACTACAGGTATGTGTGCCCCTCACATTCTGCCGTCACATTCACAGCTGAGTGCATGTGATGGTAGCCCTACGGCATGGCTGCTGTCTCGATTCATATTCGACGTGATACCCCTTCGTGTGATACCCGCGGTGATCGTTTCGTCTGTGTAAGAGCATGACGATGTTTTGCGGACTGCATACCTCATTGTGACGTTTCCTTGCAGAACATATTGGATGGTCGGCCTCGCACCAGAGGCAGCCAACTTTTTCAAGTTTCTCTTCATCTTGGTCCTGTATACTCTAGCAATGACGCTCTTCGTAAGTCATCCCTTGCGGCAGCCATGATCCGCCCCGCTTATTCCGTCTTTTGCGTAAGAACTTCCTGCTCGCGTGCCTGTTCCGGAACGGCGGGATCGCCATCCTGCTCAGCGCGCTTCTTGCGCTGTACCAGATGACCTACGCCGGTTTCTTCGTGCACCTCGGGACGATACCCCCCGTGCTCCGCTGGCTCCAGTGGCTGTGTCCGCTGAAGTACACCCTCGAGGCGCTTGCGGTCAACGAGGTGGGCTCGGGGCTCATGATCGAGGACAGCCTGGACGGCGTGCCGGTCGACGTCTCGGCGAGCCTCATTATGGAGACGGTGAGCCGCAGTGTGACGTTCGCGGTGCGCCTTGCTGATGCGACCCCGGGGCTGATAGCTGTTTGGGTTTGGGGTGGACAACTACTACCGGGACGTGCTGGTGTTGTTCGCGTTCATTGCGGGATTTGGACTGTTGGTGGTTGGCGCTGTGTGGTTGAAAGTGAGGGAGAGGCGATGATTGCGGCAGGATGCGTTGTGAGAGAGAATTGAGCTCGGGATCGGCTACCGCCTTCCTCAAATCGGGAGTCTCTCGACGTGCAGGGTGGCTTTCAGCTATCTCTAGTTGTGTCCCGAATTCTAATCGAACAGTGTGCGATGATGTACTTAGCTGATGAATTCGACTTTGACAATCTGCAAACAGAGACAAGTTTCGATGATTTACAGGCGATGATGCGACTTTGATGCGACAATGAGACCGGCGACTGGATAAACGAGCTGCTGTTGACTAGAACGCAAGAGCGTGAAAGTTCGACCTCGTGAATATTTTTCAATTCAGAACGCTGTGAGCCAGGCTTTATACATCCCCATCGCCAAGAAAACAATACTATCACAGTGTTTCGTCACTGAACCAGACTTGCGTTCACCAACCGCATACTTTCTATAGTAATACAACTGCCTCAAATGTCGTGGAGGCTGCGTCATCGGCACAGACGTTGTCACCGAGCGGTCGATGCTCTCCCGGAATCGAGTAATTATTCACAGAACACTCACTTCAATGACGACGGAATCCTATTGATGTACAGCACCTGGCCCCCTTCAGGTGCGGGAGTCTCGTCGTCTCGCACGAGGTTCCTACGTCTCGACCGCTTGAAATACCTTCCGACGCGGTTCCGGCGCTGATAGAGTCGACAAGCATACAGCACATGGCCAGGAGGATTTTTATTTTTAAAAAAAGAGAGACAGATCAAGAGAAAGGAGAGACGCAATAACGGGTCGAACCCGAGATAGAGGTGAGAGAAACAGGTGTCGAATCGAACGTGCCCGGGACGCGGCCGCAGGTAGCTCGTCAGAATTCCCTCTTACTGTGCAGCGTGCTGTTGTATTATTTGTTGGGTATGGCAATGTTATCACAGTACATAGCTCGGGTGACTCCAGTTCGGTGCGAGAGTCCACTTGAAGCCGGCGGATCCTCTTGCACGTGCCGGCGAGGATCACGGTCTGCCAAATTCCCGGCTCTGCAATCCCACTTTAAAATTCACATTCGCCATTTTCGATTACGACCAGTCCCGCGCGCGGCGTTGCTCAGACTCTCTTTGGCCCACTCGACGCCCCCGGACGATGAGCTCCTCTTCCGACTCGTCCTCCCCCGAACCAGAACTCGTGACGAAAAAGTCCAAAAAGCCCTCGAGCAAGGCAGCAGGAAAGAAGAAGCAGCTGCCGCACGGACAGAACAACGAAGGGGACAGCGACGCCGACTCCGACTGGGCGTACCAGCCCCCGCCCGGGTTTGTCTGCATAAACCACGCGGGTGACAACGGCGAGTTCGACTGGGATGCGGTGAAGGACGACGACGGGCTGGAGCTATGGCTCGTCCGTGTGCCAGGCGGGGTGCGTCCGCTCTCCCGCTCTCCCCCTCCTCCGCGCCCGGCTTCGCTCACCGCCCCGCGCCCGCCAGCTGAAACCCAAGGCCCTGCACGGCCTCAAGATCGACGGCCCCGCGGCCGCGGCGGACGCCAGGACGGCGCGGGTGGGCACCGTCGACCGTAGGCACGCGTCGTACGACGTCTGGGCGCTGGGCGACGGCGACTCCGTGGGCGGGGAGGAGCTCAGGGGTCTGTCCTGTCTGCTCCCGCGCAAAAAGGAGGGCGGGAGGCTCGTGCAAGGTGCGTCTCCGCTCGTCGCTTCCACTAGACCAGCGCGATGCTGATGCTGAAGCCGCCGCGGCGCCCAGCACCGCGGCCCGTCGCGCGCCATTTGGTCATCACGACCCAGGCCGCGTCGCCCACCCCCGTCGTCGCCCAGGACACGTCCGCACCGCTCGCGGTCGCATTCCAGAATCCGCCGCGGCATAGCTACCCGCCGGAACTCTTGAAGCATCGCTTCATGCCATCCGGCTCCCTAGTGTCCACCGTCGACTCGCCAGAATCGGTGGATGTGGATCAGGTCGACGCCATGCTGGAGGCATCGCAGACGGAGGAATCTCCTGCGAGACAGCCCGCGCCCGTCTCCAAAAAGCGGAAAAGCGACAAGGAGCACACTAAGAAATCCAAAAAATCGAGAGCGGCAGCATAGCTGCGGCGTCATCTTTACGTTACGTTTGTGTTCGCCCCCACAATCGCTGTTCGCCTCATTTTCACGCAATTCGCGCGTCCGAGCTGCAGAAAAAGTGGATTCCACTCGAAGTGGTAGTATGCGTATGAGGGCAGCACATCAGCAGCAAGCGTGATGTCGGTGGCTAATAATACTAATAAGTGTGATATGCAAGCAATCCGGAGACACCAAGTCATCCAATCTCCATGCCATCCAATGCTCTCTCCTTCCCCTTCGCAGAGACACTCACTGTACTGTTACTAGTCCGTGCAGTCGCCTCCTTCGCACTCTGCGCAGAAGGCGGAGGCCCGAGCCGTGCCAACTCTTGTCGCACCTCCTCGTCGATATCCTCGTAGACACTGTATTGGGGCATGCCCCATATCCGACCGGGATGCTGCTGCTGCTTGTCGTGAAACACCCCACCGATCGTGTCGACCCATCGCCGCCGAGTCTCCACTAGATGCTGGAGCTGTTCGGGAACATGCAGCCGATTATCCTCGTCGTGGCCCAAACCAAGCGCAGCAGGACATGGAGGCAGCGCGCTGATACCGGTCGGCTGCACCCCATTGACACCTCCGTTAAGCTCCGCGCCTTTCTTCTTTTTCTTATTAGCTTTGGGGCCATCCTTCCTCTGCAACTTGGTATATAGGGTAGTTATGTTCTTGTCGAGGGAATCGCGCATCTCGACATACTCTTGATACCCGAGCCGGTCGCGGGCAATAGCGGTGAGACGTGCTCTGCGAACCTTGTTTGTGGCAAGGACCGTGCGCAGTTCGCGCTGGGCATGGCGCAAAGCGGTGGCAATGGGGTCATCTACTGCCTCCGAGAAATCGGGCTAAATTCGTACCATCAGAATTAGCGGCTAGAATGGGCTGATACTGAGCTCACAACTTCGTCTAGGAGGCGATGAAAGCGTAAGACGTTCTTCACGCGATCTTCCAGATCTGCGACATTCAGCTTATCTCGCGCTGCGGCGGCGGCGGCACCGTTCGTCCCAGGACGTCCCTCCATCGCCTCTTCAGCTGCCTTGACACCTTTCCATTCGGTTGAGTCGTGCATGGGTATCAGAGCACTAATCAACCGTTCTGTCAGAGGTCCATGACCCCGTTCCTCAGTGAGCAAGTCAGATTCCATGAGTGTCGATGGCTCCCAGCGCGGCAACGGGGACGTCAAACTCGAAGCATAACTTCGGCCTGTACGCACGGCAGCTGTGCCGGGAAGCGGGCCGCCGTGCAGAGCAGTGTCGTCCTCTTCCCAGACTTCTGAGTAATGACGCCCAAGTTTCGGCATCACGAATGGCTCTAATTCGTCAGCAGTGTACTCCAGAAACCCCACGTCCTCCTCCTTGATTGGGCGAATCCACGGCTCGATGCTGGTGTAAAAGGTCATGATCTGCACTTGCTGACCAGAAGGTTTACTTTTGCTGAAATCCTCCTCTACATCTGTCGTTTTGCTCGGTCCTGCCACCGGTGTTGGCTGGACAGGTGGACGAGCGGGAAGCAGGGACATGGGCGGAGGCAATGCAAAATCAGGTCCAGCGGCAGGCTATTGGTACCCGGCTGTCAACCTTGTGGCACAATAATGGTTAGCCCTTAGACCCACCTTGTTAAACACCAGAGATGAGGACGGGTATTTAGGAGGCTTTGGAGCCGATGGAGGCGGCGGTAAATGTGGATGTGTGTGAGCAGGTACAGGGGATGCTTTCCTGACCTTAACTGGTTCTACAGATAAGACTGAACTTCGTCAACAGATCATTGACAGGATCTCCCATGATGCGCACCCGGCTCAATATCACTGAGTTCGTCACGTTTCCGTTTCTTTTTCTTCTTCTTCGACTCTTCCGCCGTGCTAATTTCAACCAGCTATGTTGTCAGCGCACCAAGGTAAAGGACCGAATCTGGCTCACGACTTGCGAGGCTCCACAGTGGGAGTGGGCGTAGGAGGGATTGAAGGCGCGGACACTGATGGTAAGCGAGGTTTCTGTTGAGCTACTGGTGGCTGAGAGGGCAATCTGGCTTCATCGCCATTCGGAAGTGGAGTGACTGTGTAGGGCCAATTTGTTAGACGTGTGACACCGTTGTTACCGAGGCATTGTCAAATGAAATTATCAAGTGTGCAGAGATAAAGCAGACGCCATTTCAAACCAGTTGCGACGGTCAAATAATTCAATAGATCGAGTGGAACGCGGTCACGAGAATCAGGAAGGCAGAAGCAGAGAAGCACAAGGTAGTCAGACGTCGTTCACAGTGTTAGATAGAGTCGCGTAGTGGCGTGTCGGCGAAAGTGAGAAATCAACAAAAAAGATGATCAGACTAGCTGGCTATTAATTAAACAGAAGTACGCACAGGCGCGTTCCTTCTTCACCTTCTCGATTGCTTTAGCCTTTCCCTTCTCCTTCTCCTTCAGACGCCTCATCGACTCTTCAATAGCCTTGAGGTCTTCTCCTGCCTTCCTGGCTCGCTCCAAAGTCTTCTGTTTCAAATTTTTGAGTTCCGCATGCAGGGACTCTAGTTCATCAGTCGGAGGGACGGTGTCTGGCGGGTTCTTGAAGAGAACAGACCCAATGGGTGGTGGGGAAAGGAATTGTGATACCGGTAACGACATGGTCCAAGGGTAGGGTACAAAAGGTCGCCTGGAGACCGCAAGAAGTACCAGCACTCCACCCCAGACAATACCACGCGAAAGCAGGCCAGATCGCGGCGGTATGGACAAGAGTGTAGCAGAGGTGAGCGAACACTGTCGCGAACGGAAGCAAGTGGCTTAGGCGCTCTATGCACCGGATCCGGGTCACGCACAATTCATGCTTTTCCCACGCGTCCTGTCGGCCACACTCCGGCACCGGCCGACATCCGGCTACCCAGAGCGGGCGAGTGGCCGGAATCGCCGGCGAACGAAAATAGAATTCAAGTCGCTGCTCTGCGGGCGACCCACTGCTCATTTATATTTGACCCTCGTGTACATGCCGAACAATTCGACTCTGCCAGTCGTCCAGACATGGCCGGTGCAGAATCTCCCCCCTTGCTATCCAAAACGAGCTCCAACTCCATAGAACTGACCGAGCTCGAAGAAATTACAGTCACGCCGGACACTCACCATCGCCATGTCTTCAACCCGGTGTCCTACAACGTGCTTCCGGCGACTGACTCAGATGACGAGGACGACAGGGACGACTCTGGAAGCCGTGCGCTGTTGGGTTCGCCCAGCAGTCGCTTTCAGTCTCTATTCGCACATCGTGTCGACGTATGGCATCAGGTCAAGGGCATAGTGATACAGGTAAGTTTTATACGCTCTCCCGAAGGCTGCATGGATATCCTTACAGTGAATCGTATATCTCGAGACCTTACCAACGTTACTCGTCACTACGATAGGTCTCATGTTCGTAGGAAATATCCTGGAGGCTGTGTCGGTATGCTGCCATCTTCAACTGGGTCTCTTGTACTCATGTATCGCAGCATTGGAAAGCCATGAATCGTGTGGACGAGTTGATCATTCTGGTACCAGTTGTACTGAACCTGAAGGGCAACCTCGAGATGAATCTTTCTGCACGTCTTGGCACCGCGGCAAATCTCGGGAAGCTGGATAAACCGGACACTCGTCGTAGTCTTGTGTTGGGTAATCTTGCTTTACTACAGGTACAAGCTGCCGTGGTATCTTTTGTCGCCGCATGTGTTGCATTTTTGTTTGGCCGTATAGTATCTCATTCCCCGGGGGAGCAAGCTGCATCCATGACATCGCCTGGAACTAACCTCACCAATGCAACCGCCATCGCCCATGCTGTACTTTCAACTCTACATGATTCGAGACAAAACAATTTGCCATCTTCTGGGCGGAAGCGCATTACTGTCCCCGCTGAGTATGTTCCGGTATATATCATCAGAAGGAACCCTCATAGGTCGTGTTACAGATTTATCATGGTTGTGTCGGCTTCCATGTGTTCTACAGCTATCGCTAGTATAATCCTTGGTTCCTTTATGTGTGGCCTTATCATTTTTTGTTGCCGGTTAGGGATCGACCCAGGCGAGCCTTTTGGTTCGCTACATATCCTCTTTGCTGATGCCAGTGCGTAGACAACATAGCACCTCCAGTCGCTTCGTGCTTGGGCGATCTGGTAACACTGACCATCTTGAGCTTTGTCTCTGTTTTCCACGTCAGCGTTGTCCACACGCCCATCCCGCTAATTTTAGTCGTGGTCTTGACCGCGGCTGCTATTGGCTGGGTCGTTGTCGTGAGACGAAACCCTCACGTCCGACATTTACTTGCCCAAGGCTGGTTTCCTCTGTTCGCCGCAATGATCGTTAGTAGTGGCGCTGGGATGGTGTTAGACAGGTTTGTGAGTCGTTATCAAGGGTACGCACTCCTTGAGGCGGTAGTTACTGGCAAGTCTTACCTTGCCCTCGAGAAAATATCTAATAATTTTATCACGCATCTTCCAGGTCTGGCGGGAAGCGTCGGCTCTATCTTCGTCTCGCGTTTATCAACTGCCCTCCATGTGGCTACTATGGGTCATCCTACCTCAATCTCCGACCACACACCACACCCTAGTACTCGATTGGTGTCCGTGACCTTGTTAGTTGTCAGCTTTCCGGTTCAGATTATCTTCCTTTGCTTGATCTACGCATTCGGTTGGCTACACCTTCCTATCGTCTTCCTCGTGCTCGAAGTTATCTTCTTTTGTATAGCCGTGCGTATCTCCTGGATCGAAGTAGGTGTGCTAGATCCTGACATGAAGTTCTAGGTCGCCATATCCCTTTCCGTTGCTCAGGTTGTCACGAATTATCTCTGGAAGCGGGATCTGGACCCGGACATGTATGCCATGCCGCTGCAGTCTGCGGTCATGGATCTCGTTGGGCAACTTCTATTGGTGTTATGTTATGAGGCTGCGGCTTTGCTTGGCTCGAAAGTACGTAGCAAAACGGGAAGATAATACTGATTGAACCCATGGACATCGGTTGCTATCCCACACTCTGGCATTCATAATGATAGATATCGCAGGATAAATTATTCTTGGTGTGCTGTAAATATGTCCTCATGCTAATACCACTGTCACGCATCAATGAAGAACCAGCAACAACGAACGGACCTCAATAGCTCTAAGTAAGGACAACCTAAGGGCTCTCGACAGTAATTCCCGTGAGCGTTATGTTAACCTTTTCCAAGCGCGCCGATCAAGAATCCGTGGCGATCTGCGGTATCTTGTAAAGTCGACTGGAGAGATATTTCGAATGACTGGTTTTAGTTGCCAAGGACAGCCGGCACCAATCATAGATCATGAACTGCGCCGGTGGAAATCCTCGCCGATCCACGCCAGATTGGCAGGGAACACCAATCCAAAGCGGCACTGATTCGCGACGGCAAGCTCGCTCATTACTCCCCAAAACTCCATACCCTCCCAATCGACCTACATGACATCCAGATCTCGCGGTGGCTGGTCGCCTTCAGTATCAACTGCCGAAACAGCGTCAGGGAGCGTCGTGTCCCCTTCTGCATCCTCCTCCTGAGCCTTAGTGCGTGTGCGCGTACGACCCTTCGTCTTGGCTCTCGAGCGTGTGGATCGCGTCCTGGTTGGCGCAGAAATCGTTTGATTTGTGCTTTCCTCGCCGTCCTCAGTGGCGTCCTTTTCTGTCATGGAAGCAGTTGTCCTTGCTCTTGTTTTGCCTCGGCCCCGTCTGGTTGTAGTCTTCGCTTTGCGAGTGGCGGATGACGACAATTTTCCCGCAGAGGTGGCAGATAACGGCACATCGTCAGCATCATTGTCCTGCTCGCCGTCGAAAAATTCGTTCCGAAGAACGGATCGATCTTCCCTGTTCTCGCCAGCCAGAGCGATACTTTTCTCTTCCTGCTTCTCTTCCCGTGTGCGCTCTTCGTCCTCTAACCATCCAGCGAGGTCCGGAGGGATGTCTTGCATAGCTACGCTTGGTGCGCCCTGTAGATAACGAAGCTTGTTGCGAATGCTGATGCTGATGCGCTGTAGCGATGTGGCCGAGTTCAGGTTGTCTACCTTTCCCGTAAGAGGAGGATGTAGCTTCCATTGCGAGTCTCGGAAGAATGAATCATAGATGGTGGCAGGTAGCTCGTCTGGGACCGCAGCGCCAACCAGTACTGAAGTTTCGTACGTCCAACATCGGCTGACGTTCTTGATTGTATAGCCCCCACCTCCGACGACAAGTAGTGGGACGTTGAAATTTCGTACGAAATTGACGCATTCTCCATGAGCTGCAATCGACAGGTTGAATGCGCCTAGTCGATCGCAACCCAGGGAGTCAGCTCCACACTGCAGGACGATTGAAGTGGGTCTAAAGGCGGTGACGGTGTCGTCAATGACGCTCTTGAAAATCGTCAAGTACATATTATCATCTATGCCGTCTTGAAGTGGGACGTTCAAACAGAAATGTTTTCCCGGGCCTGTACCGTTGTCGTCTAATTTTCCTGTTCCCGGGAAGAAGTCACCGGTGTATTTGTGGAAAGACACGGTCATGACGCGGTTGGTATGGTAGAAGGCGAATTCTACACCATCTCCATGGTGAATATCAATGTCGATATACAAGACTCGAGGGTGATATCTATGAACATACTTAGGATTGTTGCTTCAGAAATGCACCATCATAACGTTACTGACCTCAATAGTTCTAAAATGGCAAGTACAATGTCGTTTACGTAGCAGAATCCACTGGCTTCGCCTTTCTTGGCGTGATGTAGACCACCCGACCAATTAATAGCAATGTCAGTGGTACCCGCGCAAAGCTTTCGTGCCGCTGCGAGAGATCCACCCGCATACATGCGGCAAAATTCGTACATGTCGGAAAAAATTGGACAATCCTCCACACAATTAAAGGAGTCAATGAGATGCTTCATATCCGCCTGATTTTGGGGGGTGACCCTTAGTTTAATTACTGTTAGGATCTTGCATAGCAACATCTCGTAGATGCAAACCTTGATAAAAATTCAATGTAATCATGATCGTGATAAGCTTCGAGTTCTGCTTGTGTCGCTGGACGTGGATTGTATATATGGTGAATTTGCTTGTCTAAACCGTACCCCATGACGAGGGCATTCGTCAAAGTAAGCCGGTGGGGTTTCATCGGATGTCGCTCCTGTTCATACGTGAGATGCTAGCGGGAAATCAAACAATCGCGCGGGACGTACCCCATAATGCTGTTCACCAATACCTTTAGGAAAGTAATACGAGACGATTGGACGAGAATGAGGCTGAATGTCACAGGTTAGGGTCGCATAACATCAGTATGAGCTATCTCCTACATTTATACGTTCAGTTATAGGTTCTGCACATCCATACGGCCCGCGATCATCAAAGAAAGGAGAACAAGAGAAAGTTGTTGCTTGAGATGAACGAACCATGGTTGATGTATAATAGCCCGGTCTACAAGCAATCACCAACGCAGTAGTTGCAATTAGAAACAAAGATTTCCTTGTCATAGAATACTGCCTACAGATTGACCCTGCGATAGATATAATGTGCCAGATATCAAGACAGCTGAAAGATATTAATTAGTCTAGCACCACCAGCCATTGAACAGCACATCAATAACTTTGTCAACGAAGTGTATGCACAAGATTTACTTCGTCTTACCAGATTTCGAAGCCCCAAAATAAACCTATATGATCTTGGAAATATTAATGGGTCTTCTAGCGGGGTACTGAGTCGAAGTGTGGATGACAGAGTTCAACGGATACTTGTTGCAGAGGAATTGAGGTATCCGCCACCGCTGACTAATCCATCCATATTTGGCATTTGTCCCTACCACACCGGGTTCCGTAGTATCACTTGGTCTCTACTCCCACCTTTCTTGTCGACCACCATGATCCTGCGGATTCCCTTATATGTGGTCGCAGTACTGCTGTCGAGCCTTCATGTATATGCATCTTCTGGGGACCGCGCCGACAACTACCGGAATTGTGTTTCGAAGTGCGAATCTGTCATTTGTACCGACTCGACTGGGACAAGCTCTCTTTCGCTAGCACTGCGGCTCGCACAATGGACTTGCACAGATGACTGCAAGTACAGATGCATGCACACAGTTACTGACTATGCACTGGCCAATGGGATCGCGGTGCAACAATACCATGGAAAATGGCCTTTCTGGCGATTCGCCGGCATGCAAGAACCGGCATCGGTCCTATTCTCCATTCTGAACCTGTTGTGCCATGTCAGGGGTGCGCGATTGATTCAAAGAGTCATCCCCGATCATAACCCCGTGAAGAACTATTACCTGAGGTTTGCGTTCGTCAGTGTAAATGCTTGGCTGTGGTCTTCGGTTTTTCACACTCGAGGTGAGTTTCGTCCGGGGTACCGGTGTTTATTATATGACATATGAATAATAATCCGCGATCAGACCTTCCTGCGACTGAGAAGTTAGACTACTTCTCTGCCGCCTTAGCTATCCTCTATGCCTTGTATTATACTGTCGTCCGCTTATTTCACCTCTACCCTTCGGACAACAGCCGTCTTTCACTTGCATCAAAACCGGCTCGCAAGCTTTCCGGAATCTACATCTTATGGACAGGCATATGTGTCGCTGCTTATATCCTTCATGTCTCTTATCTCACACTATTGCCACGCTTTGACTATACTTACAACATTGTGTTCAACCTTGTTGTCGGCATGATCCACAACTTCCTGTGGATCGTATATGCGTTGCCCTCGTCCCTTCCATCAATCCGTCGTTTCCCATTTCGACCACGATCGTATCGGCCTGGATATGCATCCAAAGCCGCGCTTTTCGTCCTTCTTACAACACTAGCCACGTCCTTGGAGCTCCTCGATTTTCCTCCTTGGAAAAGGATTATTGACGCTCATTCATTGTGGCATTCGTCGACCGTCCCAATTGCTGCTCTCTGGTACGAGTTCCTTGTTCAGGATGCTCAGGATGAAGGCTGGAGGGTACAAAGATCATAAATCAGTGTTGTAGCTTAGGTAAGATGTTTCTGAGATCTTACCAATTGAGAGCCTCATCTTCAGCCAGTGTTGGATACTTCAGATCCGCTACATACAGCGTCTTGTAACGATGAGGTTTTGTATACGGGCCAATTTCAGATGTTTTCAAATGGCTTTCGCAAGTCTCGGGAAAAGCTGGGTCGCTAGAGGGCCGAAGAGGATGACAAATTTTCTCTCGTCAAAACGACATCGAATAATTCCTCATTCTATGTGACTCAGTGACTGGGGTGTAAGTACATGTGGTTGTAGGAGTTCTCCAACGATCAAGTCCTCTGCGTAATCGAAATGCCAGCCACTCAATAGCCGTTCACGCCAGCGCCTTCAGCCCAATCACCAAATAGCAGACTAATACTCTCTCCATTGTGGGTCCTGCGAATACTCTCCGCGATGGTGGGACTGACATCCATAGTAATTAGCTTGCTGCACCCATCGGTATGTTGTTGCTGAGGAATGGTGTTGGTAACCTGAAACAACATGAATTTTCCACATCGGTTCCATGATTCACGGCACGCACCACCAAACGTTCTATTGGTAACTCCTGAATCATACTCATGTTGGTTTCCGATAGGAGTCCTGCGAAAAGCCGATCATGAACACGCCATGTCGTTGTCAAGACACGAACTCAATCTCACCATGAGAAATGAGAGCATAAACTTTTGATGCCCCTTTCTCCTTGAGTAAAGGGGCTGCAAGAGCCAGTGTGGCTCCGGTATCTATCATGTCATCTATGAGGATTGCGACCTATCAAGGGATGAGCAAAAGCAAAATGGAACACGCATGACTAGCTTGCCTTGTCTCGCACGTCACCCACCAACACTTCCACTTTTTCTGGGGCGCTATTAGGCTTTTTGGACCTTTCCCTGTGGATGAGAGCAAACTCGACACCAAGTTTGTCCGCAATCGCCGTGACCCTGACGTCATGGGAGAAATATGAGAACACGATGTGATAAACTCAAACACAATGAACTACCGCTTGGTACCTCCAGCATCGGGACTGACGATTATGCTGTTCTTCCAACCCTCAATGTGTTGTTTGATATACGAGATCATGAGAGGTTCCGAGTAGAGGTTGTCTACAGGGAAGTCGAAGAACCCCTGGATCTGGCTGGCGTGCAGATCCATGGTAATGACATGGTCGCAGCCAGCTACGGCGAGCATATTGGCGACCAGCTTCGCGGTGATGGGCGCTCGGGACTTGTCCTTCTTGTCCATCCTCGCATAAGGGAAGCAGGGGATCACCGCAGTAATCCGCCGCGCTGAAGCACCTTTGCAAGCGGAAATCAGGATTAGGAGCTCCATGAGGTTGTCGTTGACGTCGCTGCACCCCGACTGGATGATGAAAACATCCTCATCGCGAACCGATTCCGCAATTTTGACGTTGATCTCCCCGTTCGAAAACTTCTTGACCGTGCAAGGAGTGAGACGGACATTTAGCCTGAAGATCACTTGGGTGAATCACCAGTCCGCAGACTGAGTGGCTGTGCCGTAAAAGCTGCAGCTCACCGCTCGACCACTGCTTGGGCGAGCTCGGGGTGACTGTTCCCTATAAAGAGAGCACTGTAAGCGTGGCTGGAACGATGTACAACGAACTTGGCACATACCCGTCAAGATTCTAATAGAGTTTCCGTGAAGCATGCTTTCCGAGATATTACAGCATTCGATGCAAAGAGAGATAGAGTACAAATGAGAAAGAGGGGCTAGGATGTGGTGCAGAAGAAACAATTCGATGCGCCGGTCGGCGGTGCCCAGAAGCTTCACAGGTCTGGCACTGGCGTCTGATTGATGATCTATCCTCCGCTTGATTTTCCGGGTCCGCAGGAGTCCGCTCGGCCGAGAGCCAGGACCCCCGACAGTTCACAATGCATTACATGGCATCTCAACAAGTTGAACAACATTCTTGAACCGAGCCGCGCTGCAACGTTTGATTGCGGTGTGAAACAGACATTACGCATTCAACCTCTAGGTATATGTTATACACTAACAGAGCATACTCCAGACCGAGGCACTATACCATCGCAACACCTTGGCCAACGCGGCTTTCAGGGCGGAACACGAATTGTGATGTTCTCCACGACATACTCGGAATCCGCGTATCCTAGCAGTTGCGCAATGTACGAACTAATCCCAATTGTCAGCTAATTTCTCAATGTAAGTCGGAACATAACACAGTACCTTTTGAGCCCCTTCACTCTGTTAATCTGGGCTGAGTTGTAGTTCGCAAGACCGCGTCCAACTTCCTCTACTTCCCATTCATCACTCTCTCCAGCCGGATTTTCCACAAAAACCTCCTCCTCAGCAGGAAGCATTCTCAAGGACGTAGATGGCGTCATGTCCTCATCTACCGTCGGCAACGACAATGGGTCTAAGTCCAGTCCAGGATCTAACTCAGACATTGACGACGTCGCAGATGCGTTCGCAAACAATATCGGCGTGTTGGGCACTGTCGTTCCCGGGCCAGAATCAGCATGAGAGTAATGTAGTTCCTCGACTGCCGTCGCCGACTCGCTCGATCCGGATACTTGGCGTCGTATCACGATCCGAACTGCTTGTCCGGACGCAAATGCGCCTCGGACGCCGAGAACACCAGCAGGAAGCAATCGTCCACCTGACTCGCGTCGGGACAACACACTGTGTGCTCCTCTGTCGATGATAACAGTTCCTGATGGATTAAGGGTATGACTGGTCCAAGACTTCAGGTCGCGCAACGGAACAGGAGAGGGTTTGAACAACGTATGCGGTGGCCGTGGGGCGTCGCCCGTCGGCGTTTTTGATACAGATGATGTAGAAGTGTCGGATGGAGGCCCAGCATCTTCTACAAGTGATGATTCAGGACTAGAGCGACCTGAAATCTCTATTGGTGTCGATGTCCCTGATTTCAAAGCATTATTATACTCTATGATCTTGAATATGTTCTTGGGGTCTTTGCTTGATGTGATGACGGTTGTGACACCTGCTGCTGTCGCAATCTCCGCAGCGATGAGCTTGGTCTCCATTCCGCCAGTTCCCAGACTAGAACCTAGCGTGGTTGTGCTGACTGTCACAGATGTTTCAGTGTCGATAGCGCTGGGACCGGCCTCTAGTTACATACCTTGGGAGCGAATTGTCGCAATGGAAGAGACAGTCTCGATAGGCTTCGCCGTTGGGTCTTTTCGAGGATTCGCAGTGTACAACCCGTCCACGTCAGTCAGAAGAAACAGATAGTCAGCATGTATCATAGAAGACGTGATGGCGGACAAGGTATCGTTGTCGCCGAATTTTATTTCCTACAACTTAGTCAGAACAGAACCTTGGAATTCATGTATATCTGTACGCACGCTGACGGAGATCGTATCGTTTTCATTAACGATTGGGACAACGCCCATGGACAGTAACTCCTTGAACGTGCTTACCGCATTTAAGTAGCGGGTCCGCTAGACTCAAGAATCTGAGCGAACAAATGACAGTATTTTCAGTGGGGGGACGTACGTCAGATATATCACCTCTTGTTAGCAGAACCTGCGCAATAGGCTGCTCTAGTTGCCCAAAGAGGTTATCCCATAGAGCGATCAATCTGCCCTGGCCTATAGCAGCCAATGCCTGCAGGGAGCCATACAAGATCAGTCATACAAGTACAGACTTGCTGCGTTTGAGAAAATTTATGCTTACCTGCTTTCCCGACAAACTCTTCGGACGATACGCTACATCCATCCGTTTCAACCCAACCGCGATGGCCCCTGAACTAACAAGGACAACCTTGTGTCCCTGCTGGCGTAGATGGACGACCGTCTCGACCACGGCCGAGAGGGTCGAGAGAAGCGGCATGTGCGTGGTTTCATGAACAATAGACGACGACCCTGCAACATAAAACCATCAGTCGAACGTTGTTGAGATCCAAGAGGAAGACAGCACAAACCTAGTTTGATTACTATGGTATTTGAAGATCCTTGGCGCGGACGGGCCATTTAACAGCGAGCTAGTGTTGTGTTCGGGGAATATTGACAACAAGTGACAAGGAAACGATATATTCCGCAAGGCCTAACGCATGCGGATCAACGATTTGAGAGTGATTAGGAGTACAGGCAGAATGGGTGATAGATGAGCAGTGAGTCATGGCAATCGATTCCGACGTCAAAGTGAAAAGAACTTTGATGCGGAGGACAGTCGGTTTGACTCAAGCCTTTGAAACGACTGGATTGTTGCCAGCACTGGAGCTTAATATGAACAGGATGATCTGCCCTGACCTCGCTCAAAGTGAAGGCGCAGGAGGAGTGGCGGGCCTCCCCTCGTCATGCGCGACTCAGCCGGATCGACCCCCCTCCCCCACCACCAGGCGAACTTGCTGCTTCAGCTGCGCACCGAGCACTCACCATTGCAGCACCACCTCCATCGGATCGGCAAAGCTGACTCTGACCGTTGCCCCTCCTGCCATACGCGCCCCGAGACCGTTCGTCACTTCCTCCTGGAATGCCCCACCTTCAGGCTGCAACGGCACGCTCTGAGGCGACAGATCGGCACTGCGGCGCACTCCATTCGCGCACTCCTGTCCAACCCGAAGGCGACCAAGCCCCTCATGGCGTACATCCATGCTACGCAACGTTTCACGGCCACCTTCGGGGAACTCGTGCGCAAACAGTGACACTAACATGTTCTCCCCGTACCGGCCTTTATTATCCCTTTCCCTTTCCTTACTTTCTACCTCATTGCACATACTTCCTGTTCTGTCTCCGGTTTCCCGGCCTGTGCTAGCTGCGAGTAGGCGATGACTTGGAGTTTCGAGGAGTTTCGACGGACGGTGGGGGACCACCGGCTGGCTCCCTCCTAGCTGTGACTCCGTCTGGAGAGGCTCAGTAGCCTCTAGTGGGAGATTTAGATTCGCGTCTCTTGCCTTAAATGGCTGAAGTCTGACCCTACGGTCCCGTCGTACTAGCGCCAATACTGTACAAGTTTCGCCGCTTTCCATTCCTGTGTACATACTCTCCCCTTCCCTGGCCACATAACGTACCCTACACTAACTGCTGACATCCACCCGCCTGTCGGGTGGTGTCTGATGCCTTTGCTACGATTCCGAACTCTATATGCGATCGCACTGCCTGTACTTACTGTCTACATAGGGCTCGGCCCTCGCGGACATTAAGAGGACAAAAAAACAGGATGATTACTTAGTACATCTCGAATTGTCGATGTAATTGGCCATCACAGCAAGTGACAGCACCGGGTGACTATCAATATGCGGTTGGTTCCATGTTGAATATAGCAACGACCAAAAAAAACGATGAAATCAATCGAAACTACATAATAACTAGTATGCACATGTAATCCAGTGAAGAATCCTAAGCCATGGATATTCGTGGAAGTATCCGTAGTGCGCGAGAACAGAGGCTTAGTTGCTCGGTGCTTTGGCTGCCTCTTTCTCGCCGCTAAGAAGCTGCTCAAGCCTTGCTCCCATCTTTCGCCGTTCCTCGATGGTAAGAGGCGGCGTTTCTGACGAGTAGCCCAGTTCTTTGAAAACAAGAAGACCGAACGTCAAATCACGTAGACAAGGCGGCGTTCGCACACGCACTGAGGCTTGGGTACTGTAAGGGAATCTCCTCGGATTTGACAGGGAGCGTGGATAGATCCAGAGGGAAAGACGGCCCAATCCACGCATTACGGAATTCATGGTCCCTGTTGGAGACCGTGAAAACAAGCACGGAAGTTGATTGCAAACATAAGCATACTTTCTCTGGCAATATAGGAAGTTGTCAGTCAGTGGAAAGACCAGGCATAAATCTCACACACACCTCCTCACGCGTAAGCGGATGCACAAGGATACTTCAAACCCAAGTGAGTCTCGATGAGTGTAGCCATTAGACGTGGCGATATACATTACCTGAGTCTGCCCCGGTTCATGCAAAGGTACGAATACACAGACGCAAAGGACTCGGAAGGACACCAAATCTCATACGAGCCTGAGAAGCCCACCAAAATTTATTGCGGCGCATATACATAACTCTATATACTCACCAACTGGATGAGGCCCAATGGGATCCGAGTTCACTCGGAAGAGTGGCACTGCAATGAAAGCACCGTCCCGCCTCAGACGAAGGACAGCATCACGAAGCTCAAGAGCTGCCTGATGCTCGTCTGCATTGCGCTGATGGAAATAAATGTCTACTCTCCCAGAGAAATCCGAATTCAGTGGCCATCATTTTGGTAAAGGAGTGATCACTTACGAAAGTGCCATTCTCTTCATGACCCGTGGCCAACAAATGCAGAACGGAGCGGGCAGTCAGCTACAGCCCACCCATAGCATCTCAGCATGGTTGAGGCGGACCTGATTTCCGATTCCACGACTTCCTTCATATCTGTAGGAGGACTCATGTTATATGTCTCGTCAACAATACCAAGAATTCGAGGGTGTAAAGAAGGTACAGTAGCAAAAGTCACAGGCCAGACTGAGCTTTCGACCAAATTGCCTTGCCGGGGCATGCCGAGGCGGCATCCCCCAACTCGCCACATTCTCCAGCTCCAATTCAAGACCCCTCGCCGACCTCCATCTTTAGCCTTTCGAGTCTACTTGTACATTGGTCTTATACGCCGTTTACTTCGATCGATACACAAGATTCCTCCCGCTCGCCACTGAACGCGGTTTCCAGTTCTACAGCTTGCTGCTGAAGTTGATTGAGAGCTGAACGCAAACCATGTCCGACGACTCGGAGGGCTTTCCCAGTGATTCATACGACTCTGACGCCTCTGCTTTGGACGTTGATGTAAGTCAGCTCTCTTTACACGCTTGTTCTGAACGACCATGCACGTATCATCAGGAGGACTATGACTTCGAGGTGCCCGTGGCTAAGAATAAGGGCAAGGGGAGGACACTCGGTATCGTGTACGAAAGTCTTTCCCCTACCCGCCTCCAGAGCCTGGTGGGTGAAGATATCAGTAATATCGCCAGTGTCTTAGGTTTAGAGGTATGTGGCTCCCGTCTTGACTGCTGCCGCCTCCAATTCACTCATTCTCGAGATGCTCTCCAATCGCAGTCACCTATTGCGTCGATCCTCTTGCAGCATTTTCGTTGGAACAGAGATAAGCTTATCGAGAAGTACATGGATTCTTCTGCGTGCGTCCTCAGAGACGCTGGTGAACCTCAGAGCGTCATTGCGGTTCCCGACTCACCTACATACCGCCCAAATAAGCGCGCACGTATCAACTCGCCGTCCGATTCCTCATTTGTCTGTGCGATCTGTTGCGACACGGGCCCAGAATCAGTATTTCGTATACGCTGTGGTCATCCATTTTGTCGCACATGTTGGCAGATCTACGCTACTTCCAAGGTCAAAGAGGAAGGCATGTGTGCGTTCAATTGCATGCAGGATGGTTGCGCAACAGTAGTAGACGAGTCGTCTATACAAAAACTAGTTGATAAACCCACGTTTGATCGGTAGGTGTATTTGTCTTCAATGCACAGCGGTACTCAACATTATCGTATGGCGTAGTTATCGCGAGTTGTTGCAGCAGTCCTACGTCTCTGCGCACCCCCATCTGCGTTTCTGTCCCCATCCATCATGCACAGAAACAGTCTCCTGCCCAGGTGGAATGGGATCATCTCTTCTTACTGAGGTTCCAACCGTGCGCTGTGGGCAGGGCCATGCCTTCTGTTTTGGATGCGGTCTGGACTCGGACCACCGTCCTTTGATATGTAAGTTTGTACGCATCTGGATTAAGAACGCTCGCGACGATGCCGGGACGACACAATGGATCAAGGCGAACACGCGTACGTGTCCAAGGTGCGATAATAGCATCGAGAAAGCAGGCGGGTGCAAGTAAGTCCTGTCGTTGTCACGAGTACGCTTGGAAAATACGAGTGTCTTGCTGATCAGAGCATAATCATCAGTCGGATTTTGTGCCGTTCTTGTCAATTCCAATTTTGCTGGCTGTGTAGGCGGAACTGGGACGTACACGGTTACAACAATGATGTCTGTAATACGTGGAAGGAACCCGAACCGGACGCAGCGAATACAGAGGCGAAGCAGAACTTGGAGAAATGGTTGTTTTACTTTGATAGATTCAACAATCACGAGTTGTCTGTTCGACTCGATGAGGAGCTTGTTGAGCAGACTGAGGAGAAGATGCTCGAAGTTCAGGAGAGCAGTGAACTGTCATGGATTGAGGTACGTGAGTCCCACCAGAGAATGTGTGTGATGACAGACACCTTCGTGCTCGATTTATAGGCAAGATTCATGAATGATGCAGTTGAAGAACTTACTCGCTGCCGTGTAACTTTAAAATGGACGTATGCCATGGCCTACTTCCTTGCACCAGGAAACCAGAAGCAGATTTTTGAAGACATTCAGGCGTAGGATTATGGCGTATACTGGGACTGGATGAAGGCTCACTTCATTATACAGGGACTTGGAAAAAGCTGTAGAAAATTTGTCGCAACTTCTTGAAGAGCCCATCGAGAAAGATACGGTGAAGAGCTTGCGGCAGCGCATGGTAGACAAGACGGTGAGCAGTGCCGCATTGATTTTTCGCAGATTTTACCAACGGGACATAGGTTTATGTGCGAGGCAGACATGAAATCGTCTCGCGGGATACAGCGGAGGGCCTTGCTGAGGGCCGTTGGGAATGGAATTTACCACTGGAATAGATCATTTGTATGCTCACAAAGAGTACATGTTCTCCACCTATCACTTGCAGGAATATAGTATCAGCTTCGAGCAAACTATCTAGTTGAGTGGGGATTGTTCGATACATGCATTAGTATAAACTGTATTTTAATGTAGGTATGCAGGAGCGCTGTTGGTATCAGCAGGATAGCATGTTACACTTTGAATCCGTATCCCCGCATGCACGCAAGGTGTTGTTGTACGACCTCACGACACTTTTCGTCTGCCTCGGACGGGTCGAATTTCAAGAAACAGTCATCGCGCACTGACTTCGTTTGCGGACATGCGCAACACCTACATCACGAGAAGGTCGTTGAGCTGAGACTTGTGAATACGAAGAGATGGTACTCACGGCTTCAAGCCTTGGGGATTAAGGGGATTCTGTTTCGGATCCGTAGGATCATAGGTCTTTGGGGTGGGAGAAGTTGAAGACGGCGTGGATGATCCCCACCACGATGTCAGCTATAAATATTTGGTATTAAGCATAATTTGACAGTGGAAATAAATCTCTCACAGAGCTGAGCATTGTGATCTGGTGAATGTACGCTATGGTCGAGGGAATGGTGACGCGCCTGGTTCAAGAGGCGCGCGCGAGGTAGCGGCACAGGGCGCCTTCCATGACAAAGCTGACCGAGACTGGAACCAAGGTTAGGGTTACTGGGCTGGCGCCACGACTGGATTCAAGAACTCTGACCTCAACCTATTTGATGTAAAGCTAGCACATTTGGCGATCCGTTTACAAGACGAGGGAGATAGTACAGGTACGTTGATCTCATGCATCCGTTCTTCGCTGGGTGCTGGGAACGGCGAATATCCGTTACATGCTCAGCGCTTGCTCTGCTTTCTACCCTTCGCCGATAGAGCCGAACTTTGTGAGTCGCTACACGCTGGGGTTATTACGATACTGGAAGTCACATCGTTTCGGGGTCCCGAAGGACTCCTTTATATCAATTCTGCCGTCACTGGTCATGTATATCAACAGACACAAGGTTTCTCACGCTGATGACAAAACACTGATTTGAACACCAAAAGGTGTGAACTGCCGGTATCGGTATTTGCTGATTTCCAGGTTAGTACAGGCAATGGCACGCGGCTGAAGCTATTTTGTGAATGTATGAATTGAAGAGCATCAGGGAACTGAAACAAACACATACCTATGGTCCCTAGCCTACTAGTATGTATTCAATGGAATCACAGCCATACCGTCGTCAACCGACGTTGCGTCACTTTGCGGCAGGAAATTAGAAGAAGTTCGTCGGTTGAAATCCTCTTCCAACTACCCGGCTCTCCTGGATCGGCATGCAGTAGGAGCCCGACAAAATCATTGCCGGGTAGAAGTATCCCCTGTGACTCGTCTGTGGCGACAGTGAAATAGTTCAAAACTCCTACCGCCACCTTGAATTCACTTGAGACCTCACTGGCGTCCACCTTGGTCATCACCTCTTCCAAAACCCCGTCGTCCGGTTCATCCCCCGAATCGAAATTGAACGTGAACGACTTGTATCGATGATTATTGACTTCTGACCAACTTCCATCGCTCCACTTAGATGTAGGGGCGACGAGAAGCAGGCGCAGCTTCACGCCACGTTTGGTAGGTTTGAATAACTTGTCCCCTCGCCGAACATGTCCATAATGCCCTTCTCTATAGTTTCCCGTAAACGGAAGCGGTCGGTAGCTCCCTGGGGATTCTGCAATCCCGGTACTGTACCTCGAGCTCTGCCCCACCCATGCAAAGATCCCCCATTCCCCACACCTTCCCATAATTGCTTCCACGAGCCTCACGAACGCCCACGCGCCCTCCCCGTACGCAATCGGCATCGTGATGTCGAAGATCCCAATGAGCGCATACGCCATATCTTCGGTCTTGGTCGTGCGTCGATGTGAGGCCCAGAGCATCTTTTCGTGCACGCGGTCGGTGCCAGGGTGGTAGTTGAAGAGGTCGCGGTAGGGTATGGAAGTCACTTTGGTAATCTCGTTGAGAAAGGAATCGCGCCTCTTGTCATGCCATTCCAGATCTTCGTCGCCCGTCAGTGGCTCCCAATTTCTCCCGTAAAACTTCATCGCCGGAGGCGCGAGCAGCTCCTGCAGGGTCCACCCCCGCGAGAACCATACCTCATCTGCGAAGTCGGCTGGGGAAGATGATTGCGAGAGATACGCAATGCACATGTGAGAGTTGCGGTACCACCTGAACATGGACCGGATCGCTTCTTCGAGCTCAGCGCTGCTCGTCTTGTTGATGCAGCATGTGTCCGACCACGCCAGCATACAACCAAACACCTGCGCTTTCTCGAGGAATTTGCGGAGCTTATCGTACCCGGCTCCTGTGCGCCCCTGCCAATCGGAGTCAGGCGACGCGAGGTCTTGGAAAGTGGGCTCCAGGCCAGCACTAAGCCAGCGATGAGAAAACATTGCATACTTCACCGCACCTTTCACGACGATCGCCAATGCCTCCTTCCGAGATATATCAAAACGGTTCCTGCTCCCTGTTTGGTCCTGGATGTCTTTCTCCGTGATGTCCGCGATCTTTGGTGTATAGAGGCTGATGACCTCGTCGTATGCGACGAATCTCATTTCGGGGATGTATATGAGGCGGGCGGGCATATCATTGAAAACGAACTCGATGAATGCATCGAAAAGATCAGGTATCGTCATGGCTGCCGGCAGCACTGAGATTAATATATGGCACGATTTGGCACGATCGACAACGCTCTTGAAATATTTCAGTCACCTCGGTGGTGGTGCAGACCGAAGAGTTTACATGTGTGTGTCTTTCAGGACGAGTCGAAGTCGATTCTGCCCAGAAGGAGACTGGAAGGATGAAGTTAATGACCATAAGACTGAGTGAGGACGAGATTACTTCAGTGTGTAATCTTCACTTAGGGTAATAGATCTCAAGCGGCTCAAATTAACTTGGCGAAGGGGCAATTTGATTTTGAGTTGTTGAAAGAGTCGAGGCTCAAATCTACCTCGAATCTACTGTACAAGTCGTCTGTAGCTACGTCGATGCCGCAGCATGGGCTGGGCGCCGATGACCGCAAAATTCATCTCAGCCCCGATCCTCGCGGGAGTTGCCGAAAGAGACCGTCACCGCTCACAATCCCACACGTTGGATTTGGACGTTCTTCGCCCGACACCTCCTCCCGTTACACACGCCCCGACTCACCATGCCTGGCTCAGACGAACTCGAGTATCTCAAGTCGCTCGTTTCGCAGCTAAATTCGAAAATCCAGGCCTTGGAGGCCAAGACGAAGGACGCGGTCACGGGGCAGAAGAAAACGCCAGCACAGCAGTTGCGCACCGTTCTCATGGGCCCTCCTGGTGCAGGTATGTGTTCAGCTGCACTGGAGAAAGCTTGTCGCTATTCCCATCTCCCTCGTTATGCTCATTAATTTATTATCGCTTATACTGACTCTGTGCGCTGTCCTGTGCAGGGAAGGGCACACAGGCGCCGCGAATCCGGAGTGAGTTTTGTGTCTGCCATCTTGCCACGGGCGACATGCTGCGCGAGCAGGTCGCCCAGAAGACCAAGCTCGGCGTGGAAGCCAAGAAGATTATGGACGCGGGAGGGCTTGTCAGCGACGACATCATGGTTGGTATCATCAAGGACCAGCTTGAGAACAACAAGGAGTGCAAGAACGGGTGCGTATGCTCATGTTTAAGTCGTGCTATGCCAGCATGCTGATTGTACCTGAAAACACGCTCACGGCTGTATTCATGTGGTAGATTCGTTCTGGACGGCTTCCCCCGTACAGTGCCTCAGGCCGAGAAGCTTGATGCCATGCTCGACGCGCGGAAAGAAAAGATCGATTCCGTTGTCCAACTGGTCATTGACGACCAACTGCTCATCTCTCGAATTACTGGCCGGCTGATTCATCCCGCTAGCGGTCGAACATATCATAGAGAGTTCAGGTTAGCGGTTGCGTCTGATCGCTCATAAAAAGCGGGTTTTTGACAGATCACATCTAGCCCTCCCAAGAAGCCTATGGTAGACGATGTTACTGGCGAACCCCTGATCCAGCGCTCCGACGACAACGTCGAGGCTTTGCGGAAGCGTTTGACGGTATTCCACTCGCAGACAGGCCCGGTAATCGAGTATTACAAGCAGAAGGGATTGTGGCGACCAATTGATGCAGCGCAGTCACCGAGTCTCGTGTGGGACAACCTGCGGAAGGTGTTTACCGCAAATCAGTGACTGTAACAGTGCTGCGTGTTAGGAACCGCCTTGTACCGCTGATTCGCACCTGCTGCGGACCGCAGAACGCTGCGTGTTGTCGCTTTGGGATTCATTAGCATCTTGGTGATGTTCTACGATCTAGAGAAAGTTTTCAATGACACACGCATCATAGACTATTACAAAGGCAGGAGGAGGTTATCTGCTGAGCGCTGCGCTATCGTCATGCTCCGATGATTCGCGTGGTATGTAAGAGAAACCAAGCAAATTGGAAGCATTCGGTGCAGATAATTTTCCAGAAGATGGTGGAATGAACATCATTTGTTGCAGAACAGTTCCATTGAGTCGTTTATACCTAGTACGTATGTGCATGACCGGCCTCGTGCAGTAGAAGTGTAAGAATCCCGTCCCAACTTCATTTCTAGACGCGTATGCGCGCTCGACATAAACCCTGCCGAATCTCCATCTCTTCAGTCCTGAGAACGCCAAGGGCCGCATTGTGCAGTCTGGTCAGGTCCGTCTCGAGCGGACGTAAGTGCTTAGACGGGTTGTCGGATAGCGCCCTTCGCGTCGTGGGGTAGTTTACATATTTTCTGGTGTCCATGCCATGCGGTCTAGCGCGCTGGGAGAGTGCAGACGGCAGAAGGCTACGGGGGTTGTTGGCGACACAGAGGATGAGCGGGGACGGCGGCGAGAAAAAGGAGCCGATCTCTCGATCCGGGATCGGCGCCAGATAACTCTTAGCATCACGAAACTAGCATGGCAACTATAAATACTAAAACAAATCCAGCATCTGCGCCATCGCCAATCGCCTCCCCCGCCTCCCTCTGCAGCGCGCAGCTTCGTCCGGAATGAAAGACACAACACCTCTCCAGCGAGGCATGGCCTGTCTCTGCTGTCGAAGGAGGAAAATGGTATTGTCCCAGTCTGCCAAATGCATCTTGTCGGGACCTAATCCCACCACGTGCTTCATTTATGTTCCAAGAAATGCGACGGCTTGCGCCCAGTCTGCTCCCAATGCCTCAAGTCGAATCGCTCGACAGAGTGCCAGTACTACGAGAAGAAACATGTCAGTCGCACCCAGCTACTCCGGCAAAAGGTGGCGAAACTCGAAGCTCGTCTTCGCCAGCTGGAATCGGAACAGGCTGACTCCGAAGACTCCCCTCCTTCGTCTTCGTCGTCGTCCTCTTACGCCCCATCACCCTCAGCCTCATCTCACACATCTCCCGCACCACACTTCCACAACACGGAACCCAAATTGCCAGCTTCGTCCAGCTCTTCCGCCCCTATTGTCGATGCTGGCTTACCACTCGACCTGCCCCTCTCATCTTCATTCGAGTCCAGCTGGTGGGAGGATTCAGAATCATTCTGCGAGAATAAACAGACACTGTTTGTGTTTTCTCCAAGGTCCCCTTCCAAATCTAACCTATTTGCAGCGTCGATATATTCTTTTCACACCGACATCAATGCGCATTCGATGTCCATCTCGGGAGATTCCAAGCTTCCCTACATCTCGCACCTCCACATCGACCCCATCCGGCTCTGCTTGACTCCATCTATCTATTAGCATGCTACTTCTCACGACTTCCCCATCTCAGCGAGCTCGAATCCCACTTTCTCAAACGTGCATTGCAGGGCATCGCGGAGGCCCTGCACAAGCAAGACCGTATTGTGCAGGTCCTACAGGCATCGTGCTTGATAGCTGTTTACTTTTTCTGCAATGGCCGCGCTCTCGAGGGCTACTACCACTCGTCCACCTCCGCGCGGCTAGCGATCGACCTGGGCCTGCACCAACTGCGCGCCGCTGACTGTAACGTGACTCCAGTCCCCTCTGCTGAAATTTATGATCCTGTATATCCATCCGAACAACCATTCCATCTCTTGCCGCCATGCGACACCATCGAGCATGCTGAGCGAATCGCGGCGTTCTGGCAAATCTGCATCGTAGACCGCGCGTGGTCTGTCGCGACGGGCTTGCCGTCTGCACTGCCAGACGATGTCCATCCAAAGACGCAAATCGAGACGTCCTGGCCCATGAGCATCATGGAGATGTCGATGGTGTGTGTGCCCGTTTTTGCCCGCACCAGTTGTGTTAATGGTGAACAGAGCCTCGAGGTCGTGGGCCCGCTATTGCTGGTGTCACCGTACAGTACGATTAGCGCCCCGGCGTCGTGTGTGGCGGCTTCGATCGTGACATTGCGCGCCAAGGCTGTGATGCTGTTCGAACGCACGGCACGCTTTGCCGCAGGTGAGTGCTGTCCGCCCGCCCTTGATGCTGTTGTTTCTGGGCGCTCACAGAGGGGATGCAGCTGCGGAACACAGCGCGCCTGACTGGGTTGAGCAGCGATCACTGGAGATGTCGGTGGACCAGTTCGCGGCGAATTTGCCAGGGATCAGCCGGTACGCGACAGGGCCTTTCGGAACCGCACATGGAGAGCCAGATGTGGACCTGGTGCATATCCACACGCTCATCTATGTAGCGACGATACACCTAAACCGGGATCTAATTGAAGGTCAGCGGGCGTCGTTCGAGAAGTGCCTTGTATCGGCAGATGCAGTAACAGCTATTGTGCGGGAACTAAAGGATCAGGATTACGGCTTCCTGGACCCTATCAGTGGGGTGAGGGGGATGTTTTATCTTGTCCTTGTGTGCTTGGCAGCTGATGTGTATGGTTAGGCATGCTGGCGCTATGTTGCGGACGCCTACTTGCAGATCCTGAGCGCCGTGCAAAGATGCGCAGGCTACTGTGATGTGCTCGCAGTGAACGAGAACCTGAACATTCTGCTCGTCGCTATGCGACGACTTGCGTTGTTCTTTCCGATTGCTGGGATACAGGCATCCGAGATAGAGCAGCAACAACTATTGGTGCGCATTGACCATTGATCATACACAAGGCCATTATTGCTGATTATTGCATGTAGCAGCAGGCCATCCCCGTTTGACGCGATTTTTTCGACTACAGGGTTATTGAGGGCGCGTATACGAGATTTCCGTATTCACTCTTCGTCGGCGTTTCCTGGGTTTTAGGATTTTATCCCGTGTGTTCAATATCACTTAGTGTAGTCTGCTCTCAGCGCAGGGATCATGTATGCTCTCTACCTACCTGAGGTCTAGGCTTCCCGCGCGTTAATAGCTATAAGGATAGTGTGGGAGTTGCAATTTGCATTGTTCCGTTTTTCCGTGCGGTCAGAAGTCTGCTGAGATATTTCTGTCACGGTCTCTGTTCCCTTGATGCACAACATGTTTGAGAACAGCATTGTAAAAGCATGACATATATGAGTCGAGCAACTGCAAACCTGAAGTACGGCACCGCGTGGAGGACAGGAAGATGGTAACCACCCATTTCAGATCCGGCCTGTCTGGCAGGGAACAAATGAGCACGCCACGTCTATCTCACCACCGAAAATCTGACACTCTAGAGCAATATGCGACACCAAATGATTGCATGCACGGATGCCAGTGATCATGAAACTAAGATCGAACAGCGCTAGTCTGACTTCGCGCTCTTGGATTTTTTCGGTTCTTGGCTATCTCCAGCGAGCCACAGAGCAGAAAACAGAACAAAACCGATGCTTGTGCTGATCGCGCCGGCATAATAAGGCCAGGCAGGGCTCAAAAACCTGGGGTATTGGTCGTGCCGTGGGGGCACGACCGGCACAACCGTCGTGCTCTCCAAGAAGGACCAGCTGACGAGACTGTGAGTTTGATCGGCTGACAGCGGGCATCGTGGGCAACTCACCCCCTACGCTTGAAGTCGACGACAAATTTGAACACCCCATGGCGGTCGGGAATGCGGAACTCCACGGAGTACCGCCCCGGGTCGCCTTCCACTGGTTGCAACATTGTGCGGATATGTGGATCGAGCATAGTAAATTCGAGTTGCATATCCGCGATCTCGCTATACGGCTCCCACGTCGATGATAACGGATTAAATTTTGAGACGCGCATGGCGAAGACCTATCAAGACAGTGGAAAACCCAGTCAAACTAGATGGAGAAAAGAATAGAAAGAGGCAACGTACAACCCGATCGTTGATAGTATACTGTTCTCCTGTAAGGGTCTCGTTTACGCGATGGTGAGTAACCTCATCGATCCTCAATACATTGGACTCTTGGAATGTCCAGGCTGCCACTTCAGCTACGAATTGCTGATTGCCTGGCTTAACGCCGCTGCAAATCGGAGTATGAGAAAAATAGCAAAAAGTATCAAGTGCGAGTGACTCACTTGGCAAGCTCCTTCGTCGCAAATTCATCACTGAAGATGTCAATACCTCCGACCCAAGTCGCACGACTACCACTGCGAGTCTGGAATCCTGCGACTAAACCAAGCGAACTCCCTGCCCATAGGCCTTCCCCGCCCTTCTCAGCAGCATCGAATATGGCGTCCGCACCATTATCGCGGTCCGAGTCAGCTGCAAAGCTTTCTGGCGGCGCGTTCAGAAAAGGAACCAGAAGTGGGCTGCTGCCGAATGCAAATGGGACGCCGGAGAACCAAACGGGCGGCAAGTCCGATGATAGTACAGAACCAGGTGCCACATTTACGGGTATCACGGTGGCGGGCGTATCTCTTTCAGGAAAGTGCGAAACGAGTGGGGTTCCTGGTGGAGGCAAGATGAGGGAGAACTCGGACGCGAGCGAGGTCAGAGGTGTCTGCTTTGACGACAGGGCGATTAGCAGGTTGGTATTTTTGGAAAGGAGCGTGACCAGGGATTGTGGTGTGATGTCAGAAGAGTAGCCTATGTAAGTAAGTAACCATTTGAGTCGACGCCGAGGCATGCAGTATATTAAACCACGCACTCTTTGACTCCGGCGCGAACAGAATGACATGCGAATATTGGGGATGGTCATCTGCGATCACAGCAGGCTGCACGTCCTTGGGTGTACGGAAGGTGAGGTCGTAACCTCTCTCTAAAAAGGAGGTTACTTATATATCGCAAGGAATATTGCACGGGTCAAACCTTCAAGTCCATTGAAGAATATAGAAAAGTTGTCCCTCTTTAGGCTCTGGTCAAGTACAACAAGCACAGAATCACCAGTGCTAGATTTCGCATAGGTTACAGCAGCCAGACAGACAAGGGAAGAGAGCAGTGGCCATAATGAGAGCATGACAGCGGTCACAGCACAACCTTGAATATTGAATACTGCGCAACTTGGACGCCGAGCGTATCCATTGACCACGTAGACTTGCTGCTTTTGGAACGTGTCTAAATTACATAATACAATGCTACAGCGTCATTCACGTGCATTTCGGCTTCATCCCAAGCCAATGTTTGTAGAGCCAAATAAACGCCACCGTACTCGACTCCGAGTTCGCAGCCAACGCAAGCAGTGAGCACTGCGGACCATCTATAATTTCTCGTCAACGCAGGATGGCGGACGAGTATCCGTCTTCGTTCCGTGAGTTAGACATATTTTTATCGATATTCGTACTTTGCTGAGGATATATTCAGGTTCGGAACAGATGAGTCTGGTACAACTTATCGTACCGACTGAAGTTGCCCATGATACCATTGCAGAGTTAGGAGAGTTGGGGAATGTTCAATTCAAAGACGTACGTTTATTCAATGCCATGCATTTGTCTCTAGCTGCTCACCTTTTGCGCTGTCTCGTGAAGTTAAATCCAGACGTCAATTCGTTCCAGCGCTCATTCGTTGGTGAGATCCGTCGAGTCGACGAAATGGCTCGCCGGGTGCGGTTCTTCAGTAGTCAAATTGAGAAGGAAAAGGACACTATCCCAATTCGACCGCTGTACGACTCTGCGCCTTTGCTTACTGTCGGGCCTCGCGCAGCGCATACTATGGATGAGCTGGACTTTAAGCTGAGGGAGCACGAGAGTAGACTTATCCAAATGAATGATAGTTACCAAGTGCTGTGTGACCGCACGAAGGAGCTGGAGGAAGCCCGACATGTGCTGCGTGAAACAGCAGTCTTTTTCGAAAAGGTCAGAGTTTGGATTCATCATCACACCTACTGGCATGTCTCATGTTCGTTGTAGGCTGCTGGTTATCAACAGGAAGTTAGGACATCGTTCGATGACAGTTCCGCCCCGTTGTTACAACACGACGATCGAGAGCAGCAGTACTCTTCAGGTAGCATTCAATTCGACTTAGAGTATGTGCGGGGCAACTTTTCCGACTGCACATATATTCATCTTTATCTTTACAGGTTCGTCGCTGGCACAATAGACCGTGCTCGTCTGCCTACTTTCGAACGTGTACTATGGCGTGTCTTGCGCGGGAATCTGTATATGAACCATACAGATATTGCAGAGCCGTTTGTCGATCCTGCGACTGGGGCTGAGACGCGGAAGAATGTCTTTATTATCTTTGCCCACGGAGACATGTTGCTCGCCAAAATTCGCAAGGTAGCGGAATCCATGGGGGCGACCCTGTATCCGATTGACGCCAATGCAGACAAGCGCTCCGACTCGATGCGCGAAGTTTCAGCGCGTCTGGAAGACTTGCAGGTTGTTCTCTATAACACCGGTACAAATAGGCGGGCGGAGTTAACGAAGATTGGGGAGAGTCTGGCCAGCTGGGTGGATGTGGTGCGGAAGGAGAAGCTCATTTACGAGACGCTCAACTTCCTCAATTACGATGCCGGGAGGAAGACGCTTATCGCTGAAGGCTGGTGTCCAACGAGAGATATTCCGATGATACAGCTCGCTCTCAGGCATGCGACGGTTAGTTGTGGATAATTCTGTGAGCCCCCCTGTTGATGGTCGTGTTTTCAGGAAGAGTCGGGAACCAATGTTCCTCCCATTCTGCATGAGCTTCGCACAAACAAGACGCCGCCCACGTTCATCCGCACGAATAAATTTACGGAGGGTTTCCAGACCATTATGGATGCCTACGGTATTGCCACATACCAAGAAGTGAATCCCGGCTTATTCGCTGTTATCACATTCCCGTTCCTTTTCGCGGTAATGTTCGGTGACATTGGTCATGGGTTTATTGCACTTTCCTCCGCTGTGATGATGATCCTGTTTGAGAGAAAGCTGGCAAGTGCTGATCTCGGAGAGGTATGTTTGTGCATTTTATCATCCATCTTCCATTACTTATAATGTATAGATCCTCGGCACGTTCTTCTTGTGAGTACTTCCGGCTGCCTTTCTTAGTCTTCGGACTCTGATCACCAAACAGCGGTCGCTATATTATACTCCTCATGGGTGCATTCTCGATGTACACTGGCTTCTTGTACAACGACATCTTCTCCAAGTCGCTGCACGTATTTTCTTCAGGCTGGACCTGGCCCTCCCAGCATGGCAATGGGTCTGTCCCTGCTGTCTCTAACGGCTATACATATCCTATTGGTATTGATCCCGGGTGGCATGGAGCTGAGAATGCACTGTTATTCACAAATTCATACAAGATGAAGATGTCGATTGTGCTCGGTGTTATTCATGTGGGTGCCGTGTCAATAAACAAGGTGGAATAACTGAACTTGATTATTTTTGCATAGATGACCTTCGCTATTTGCCTTCAAGTTCCAAATCACCTCCGCTTCAAACGACACTCGGATATCTGGACCAACTTCGTACCACAAATATTGTTCTTGCAATCTATCTTCGGCTATCTTGTCGTATGTATCATTTACAAGTGGACGGTAGACTGGGACACCTCGCCCACGGGGCCTCCATCCCTTCTTAACATGCTTATCGGAATGTTCCTTTCACCTGGTAAAGTCGACCCCGACACGCAGCTATATCGTGGTCAAAGCATGGTTCAGACGATATTACTCCTAATCGCTTTCGTATGCGTGCCGTGGTTGCTTGTAGCAAAGCCGTACCTCGAGTGGAAAGAGATGAAGAAGATCCAGCACCAGGGCTATATCGGGCTAGGAACAGAAGACGGTCCAAGACCAACTACAGATACGGAGCTTGAAGGGGAAGAGGAAGGTAATGGCAGGGCCATTGCGGAAGCAATGGATGAAGAGCATGTTGGTTTGATCGGTTTCTTTCGCATTGAGGCGGATATTGATCGTCTTTGTCTTTAGGAGCATCATGACTTCGGCGAAATTGTGATTCATCAAGTGATTCATACCATTGAATTCTGCCTAGGATGTATCTCGCACACAGCTTCCTATCTGCGTCTATGGGCTTTGTCTCTCGCTCATGCTCAGCTATCCGAGGTGCTCTGGAGTATGACCTTAGCAGGCGCCTTGAAGATGACAGGTGTCATCGGAATCTTTGCGAAGCTGTTTATGGGTGTACTCTGGTTCAGCTTGACAGTGTTTATCTTGTGTATCATGGAGGTACGTAAAGCGCCGAGCGTGCTATCTCGCTGCACCAGCGTGCATTCTGACCTTTCTGCTTTTAGGGCCTGTCTGCGTTTTTGCACGCGCTGCGTCTACATTGGGTCGAAGCAAACAGCAAGCATTATGAAGCAGGAGGTTATGTGCGTGTCGCCTATATCAGTTCATCGATGAACGCACCCAAGGCGTGCTTACTGATCTTGCTTCTATTTCGCAGCAATTTGCGCCGCTTAGCTTTGCGAAGATGGGCGAGGAATGAGCTGCGTGGAGGCAGGTGTTGGCCTTACGAAGTGTCTCTCTATAAGATTCCAATGTCAAATGTGATTTGGTCTTCTATTGGCCCGTAAGTTTGCATCGAACGGTCCCGATCGGCGGTTGGGCAGTCATTCAATGGAGGCAGTCCCGTTTCTCACACGGAACAGTGGAGACGGCGCAACGGCTTCCATGGTATGTGATCTCCGATTTGAGGTGGATCTCAGTAGTGGGTGCACCAGAGAATTGCACTTTTCGGGGCTGTTGCGACTCGATGCGAGAGGGATAATCAGCGGATATGGGTTGGTTCGTTTTGCTCTGAGCTGATTACTGCAGACGATCGACGCGGAATAAGATCAATGAATTTCACAGAAGTGTAAGTTCCGATGCCGGAGGCTCACTGCGAGCGACCTCCAGTGGTCCTATGCGGTTGTGGGGTAACGCTACCCCGGATCTCTCGGAACAAGGCAGAGCAGGAGGCAGGCAGGAGGCGATGGGCTGTGTGTAGTGGCAGATTGCCACGATCTGGGGCCATCGCACGTGCTCTCGGCGTGTGTTTTTTCGGGGTCCGCCAGCACGGGACACCTCCTATATAAGCTTTCATCAACCACTGCAAAGTTTATCCTCACTCCCCAGCTCTTTCCTTTTGCCATAGAGGTTTGTGTCTTTCTCGCCCTCCTCGTCGTTGCGATCCCTGATCCTGTTGTCAGGCTTCGGCCAGGATAGAATAGAGTGTCCTTTGTTCCTTAACGGCCTTTTCGCGTCTCATCGCACTTTTTACGCACGATCATATCATCCCTAGAGGTGAGTTAGATCGTCGCTTACCACCAAACAGGCTGTAGTTTTGACGAGCCCATCGGTTATGCAGATCAACGAAATGCCTGCTGTTACCGCTGCTACCCCCGCTACCCCTGCCCCCGCTTCCCTCAAGGCCGCTGTTGCGCCTGTAGATGGTCAATTCGACGTGACGAGTCTTTTCGTCGCTGACAAGGCGACCCGCGAGTCGGCGGCTGCCACTCTTGCCGCTATCGCTCAAAAGGACGGCCCCAAAGCCCTCCAGTCTGTTGGCTTCACGGATGCTGCCATCAAGGCGCTTGGTGACAAGAAGTCACCTGCCGCTCGTGAAGGCGCAGCAAACGCCGTAGCGGTCCTCGCATCCTCTGACGCTATCAGGGCCCTAGAGCCCATTTTCCTTGGCTCCGGTCTCTACAATGCACTCCTCGAAAGCTTTGCTGACAAGATGCCCGCTGTGCGGACAGCTTCCATCGAGGCAGTAAAGGCATACGTTTCTTCTATGAACCCGTGGGCGACTGCCCTTGTGCTCCCCGCTCTTCTTCAAGAGATCAAGACGGCCGGTAAATGGCAAGTCAAGACGGGTGCTCTTCTTATTCTCAATCAGCTTGTTGTTTGCGCCCCCCTTCAGACTGCTCGCCTTACTCCTGAGATTGTCCCTGTCCTCTCCGAGGCCATCTGGGATACCAAGGCCGACGTGAAGAAGGCTGCGCGTGATTCGCTTGAAAAGGCCACCGCTTTGGTTTCTAACAAGGACATAGAACGTTTTATTCCCGCTCTAATCAAGGCTCTTATTAATCCCGTCGAGGAAGTTCCTAACACTATTACACTTCTTTCCGCGACCACATTCGTTTCTGAGGTTGATTCCCCGACCCTTTCCCTCATGGTTCCTCTCTTGTCTCGTGGGTTGAACGAAAAGCTTACGGCTACGAAGCGCAGGGTCGCAGTGTAAGTAACATACACGTTATCACATCTGGCCTTTGCTTATTTAGACATTCCTTAGTATCATCGACAACATGGCCAAGCTCGTCGATTCCGCTGTGACTGTGCGGCCTTTCATTCCTAAGCTTCTTCCCGGCTTGATCAAGGTCGAGAGTACAATCGGCGACCCTGAAGCTCGTGGTGTCGTTGCTCGTGCTGTTGCCACTCTCCGCCAAGTTGGTGAGGTCCCAGAAGGCGATGGATCCGACCTTCCCCCTCTCAGGAAGGCTGATGATAAGCAGCTTGCCACCTCTCTCGTCGGTCTTTACAAGAAGGCTAACGTCAACCCGATACCTTCTGTTTCTTCTGTCGAGGCTTTGTACGTTGGAAGCCTTGCGTCAAACCTCGTCAACGCCAAGAACTTCGACCTTGCCGAATGGCAGTCTCTGGCGCCTCTCCTTACCTTCGTCTCTTCGTCCCCAGAACCTATCTCGATCGTCAACGAGTGGGTTGTCAAATCTGCGTCGCAGGACGACGATGATCAAGAAGTGCCTGATGATGAAGAAGAGGGCGAGGATTTGTGTAACTGCCAGTTCTCTCTCGCTTACGGTGCCAAGATCTTGTTGAATACCGCTACTCTCCGTCTCAAGCGCGGCCATCGGTACGGTCTGTGCGGACGTAATGGTACGGGCAAGTCCACCCTCATGCGGGCCATCACCAATGGGTGAGTCTTTTGTATTCGTTGATGAATCTCGTTCATGTTTTTTTCTTAGTCAAGTCGAAGGATTCCCGTCCCCCGATGAAGTTCGCACCTTCTATGTCGAGCATGACATTGACGGTAGTGAGGCCGATACCACCATTCTCGACTTCATTTTGGCGGACACGCGTATTCAGGGCTCCAAGGACGAGGTCATCGAGACGCTTGCTTCTGTCGGTTTCAGCGATGAGAGGCAGAAGCAAGCGATTGGTAGCTTGTCTGGTGGTTGGAAGATGAAGCTTGCGTTGGCCCGTGCGATGTTGTTCAAGGCCGACATTCTCCTGCTCGATGAGCCCACTAACCATCTTGACGTCGTCAACGTCGCTTGGCTGGAGAACTATCTGACGAGCTTGACGACTTGCACGTCTATTATCGTCTCACACGATTCCGGTTTCTTGAACAATACGATCACTGACGTACTCCACCTCAACCGCTTCAAGCTGAGGAGGTATAGGGGCAATCTGGAGTTGTTCATGAAACAAGTTCCCGAAGCACGCTCGTACTACACTCTCGAGGCTCAGGAGGACTACCAATTCAAGCTCCCTGACCCGCCGCTGCTCGAGGGTGTCAAGACGAAGGAGAAGAGTTTGCTCAAGATGCGTAAAGTTGGTTTCCAATATCCCACTCAGCAAGTGCAACAGCTCTACGACATTACGCTCCAAGTTTCCCTCTCATCCCGTGTCGCCGTTCTGGGTCCCAATGGGTCCGGTAAATCTACGCTTGTCAAGCTACTTATTGGAGACCTCGAGCCCAACAAGGGTGGTGAGATCTGGAAACACCCGAACCTGGTCATTGGCTATGTTGCGCAACATGCCTTCCACCATATCGATAATCACCTCGACAAGACCCCGCTTGAGTACATGTTGTGGCGTTACCAGACTGGTGAAGACTTGGAGGAGATGATGAAGGCGAACCGTCAGATCACCGAGGAGGAAGAGAAGAAGATGAAGGATGGCTCATTGGTCATCGTCGAGGGTCAGAAACGTTTGATCGACGAGATCATTGGACGCAAGAAGCTCAAGCAGTCCTACGAGTATGAAGTATCGTTCAAGGGTCTCAGCTCTTCCGAGAACATTTGGCTGCCTCGTGACGATCTCATCAAGCGTGGATTCGAGAAGAAGGTCCTTGAGGTCGACACTCGTGAAGCGCAACGTCTTGGTCTTCTCCGTCCTCTCGTTCGTCGGGAGATTGAGAAACATTTCGCTGATTTCGGCCTCGAGGCCGAGTTCGTCTCGCACAACTCAATGAGAGGTCTTTCTGGTGGTCAGAAGGTCAAGGTTGTTCTCGGTGCTGCCACATGGCGCCGTCCTCACGTCATCTGCTTGGATGAGCCGACGAGTACGTGTTTTTTAGCTTGTCACTTGTGCTGGCTAACACGCACGTTTTTAGACTACTTGGATCGTGAGTCGTTGGCTGCTCTCATCAAGGCGCTCCAAGAGTTTGAGGGTGGTGTGCTCATCATCACGCACAACCGTGATTTCTCCGAGTCGCTGTGCAAGGAAGTTTGGGCGATGCGCGATGGTCACCTTGAGGCGTCAGGCCACAACTGGGTGGAAGGTCAAGGCTCCGGGCCTCGTATTGACAAGAAGGACGGTGAGGATGACGATCAGTACGACGCGATGGGTAACAAGATTGAGAACAAGAAAGCGAAGAAGATCACGGCGTCCGAGGCACGGAAGGTACGTTTTACGCCTGCTCCGGCTGTGCTGGTTCTGACACATGACATACAGCTCAAGAAGGAGCGCATGGCGCGGAAAAAGCGTGGTGAGGAGGTCACCGACGATGAGTTGTAATCTCGCTCCCCTTTACGGCTGTATTTCTGCATCCTGTTTATTGCTGTGTGTTCTATCCGGACGTCTTTTGGCCATATATCGCTACGTTGTCTTGTACTCTGTACCCTAGCATTAATTCTATCATCTATGTATGTTCTGTGAACTACTTGTTTGACTTTGTGAAGTTCTCGGATTGGTGTCCAAAGTAGACGTGTTCTGTGTGACTGGGGGGCATTCGATGCCCACTTCAGGCAAATGAAGCATGCCGCTGTTGGGGGCGTCTTACCATGATGTTCTTGGTGCAGTGTTCCAGGCTGTGAGCACTGCGCATACGGGAATCTTATCCGAACTTCCATTATCCGCCAAGCAAACCAACAACTATAAAGCCCTGCTCTTTGTCTGAACACTGCCAAACTTTCCGCCCAGATCACTGTCACGAATTTGACGATATACGCTAACGAGCTATGCCCTACGTCCCCGAAAATGCGACTCACACGTTCTATGTGACTGCACGGAGTGTGCAAGACCGACTTACGCCAGACCCCACGCAGCGGACAACGTTGATTGTGGCAGCATGCTACATCGTTGGAATTGCTATTTTGTGGTGCGTGAACAGTTTGTCGACTTCACGTCCGTCTTGCTCAAGTGTCTTTCCAAGGCATGTGCCGTACCTCTCGTATTTGAGTGAGTACTTCTCGCAAACTCATCACTTTGCTCTTGACAATATGTCCGGTGCATAGTCTACCCTTTCAAGTAAGTTCCTCACTGTTCTATTGTGGATTGGACCTCAGACAGCGCTGCAGATTATTGACGGTCGGATTCCACGAGGCAAGTAAGCCGCCTGTTTCGTGAATTTTTGCACTCATCCACGACAAATAAGATGAGCCATGCTTTCATGGGTGGTAAGTCCCAGAGTTGTACCGCCGAATTAGCGCAAAATCTCTGATATTCGACAGTACTCACTTGCGCACGTATCCACTCCATCGAGCTCGATCGTGAGTATAAAATTTATTGTGAAGTATAGATTTTGTGCTAATTTCGCGTGTACGTGCCAGCGGACGAGGGTGGTGCTACGCGCATGTCCGGAGGGATACCCTGGTTGACCCTTCCCGCTGGCTACCTTGGCTCGGGGTTCATTGGTGCGGCTTTGATTGTGTGCGGTTTCGACACAAACGCGAGTAAAGTCGCCTCCCTCGTCCTCGCTGCATTCTTTCTCTTCACACTTTGGTGGGCGCGGAAAGATTGGCTGTGCGTGGCCTTCGGACTGTTATCCCCACTGGCATTGAAGCTTACCTGTCTCCAGAACGTGGGTGCTCATTTTGGGTATGTCGGGTCTGATCGTCCTGTTCTGGTTCGTGGATGGCGGAGCTGCCCTGAGATATTTCGTGAGTACGGGTACCTTCGCTCGGGATTAGGTCGGGACTAACCGTCTTACTGAAATAAGATCCTCTTCATGGGCGTCATGTCGTGCATGTACGTCCTATGGGACATAGTCGGTGCGCATATATGATTTTCATCGGTGTCTATAGATTGCTCATCTCCGTTTTTTAAGATGATACGATTGACCGAAAGATAAATGGATCTGATGCCTCTTCGTTCGCGGATATTTGTGGCTGCTGTCCCTCCCAAGGTCTGTACTTTTCTAGTGTGCAAACTATGACTATTATTCGTGCTCACATGTATATAACTAGTATGGGGTGTTATTTGGCTGATCATCGCGTTCTGTTTCTTTGCCGCGGGAATCTTAATTGGCATTGCCGCCTTCAAAGTAGGAATTGCATACATACCCTGTGGCCTTCTTTCGAGCTAATGATGACATTGTATAGCAATCAGCAGCGCAGCAAGCAGAGGATGCTCAGCATTTCCTACCCGTGCCTGGATCTAATAGTGCGATATGTGCATCAATATCGTTCCCTGTCCTTACCCTCGTTGTGACATCAACGTGGATACTTCTTCAGTAGTAGAGTATGCATCCATGACAAGTGATTACTTTTGTCAATTCTTGGACTCGAGTCTTGTTGTATTTGTCATACCCCTTCTTGTTGTATCGCTATTGACGTTCGCTATCGCTACTGTAACATGTTTTAATTGTCGCCCGAATAAATAATATCAAGCTCCGGACTCGCGACCATTGTTTGATGCACCCACAACTTTGACAAGGGCCTCGGGGACCAGTAAGTGAGAAAGTAAGTGTTGTGTGGGGCCAGCACGCATCATGTAGTATAGTGTTTTGAGTAAACCTGGCACGTTTGAATACTACTTAGATGCCTTCATGTTCTTGAGATTCCACATTTCAAAGCAGAAAAGCGCATAGATTACATTCGAAAGCACGTCGTAGCAAGTCCACCGAAGATCGCGTCTAAGGCATAGGATACCATTGTAGATAACATAGCTATATACATTCCATGCATCACGTTTTACAACGTGTAGATGAAAAATTCAAACAATATCACCTATTCGGCTCACGCCTCGTTACTGAACTTTCAGCTTGGGGCCTGGAACCGGCCCAATCTTGTTCTGCGCGGTGCCGAACGTCTTGACCGTCCGCGTCACAAACATCGTCGCCAACACCACTGCGCACAGCGCACGGGCATACTCAGGGTCCACCGCTTCTACCTTCTCGTCGGTTGCAGAGCCCCACCACCCCAAAGTGGCGGCATGTGCCTCGGCCCAGAAGGGCTGTGCGTGCGTCAAAAGCGCATACAGCCCTGTTACGAGCGGTGCACACCATAAGTCGGTGGCCGTCCAGCCGTATGCCATGAACTCAGGGGGCGTAGTGAGCGTGAGAGCATAGGGCTGGAGGAACGATAGAAGGTTCACGCAGAACCATCCGCCATTGGCGGTAACCTGAATACGCAACAAAATGATCAGAAGATCCTTCGATCGGAGTAGATCGCATACGGACCAGGGACGTTAGTAGCAACGACCAGGGAGATGTAGATATCGCCTGCGATGAATGGTTGACAATCATCGGGGGTATAATGTTACAAAGGAGCATAGCACGCGTAAATCCATCTAGAATAGAGACCGGGAGCTCGGTCTGGAGAGAAGGCGTGGGGACCGCTGGGAGACGGTTGACGAGTGCTTGAATAGCCGTGTAGAATGCGGGCACAGTCCCTGAGATCATGAATGAAGACGGTATGCCTAGGGCAGGGGCTTCAGGCACGATAGGTCAGTATCCAATCCGCACAAAACGGCATCTAATACTAGTACTCACCCGTCATAAGCTCGCCTCCAAACACAACCATGAGTGTAGCGGTAGCATCTCGCACGAAAGATCGATCCTCAACCTCCTGGATAGTCACTTCCTTTGAGGCCTGTTTCTTCGCGACATGTCGTGCGTGAAAGCCCTCTTTCAGCTGACGCAGCGCGACACACGTTCGAAGTGCTGCAGCAATGTCGAGCAGGGAAAACGAAAGCCCAAACCAAGTGAAGGGCGCGACCGGCTCCAAAACATACTGGTAGACCGCGACTAGTGGGGCAAGGAGGAGCAACATCCTTGGGGGTCTCAGCGTTGGAAGAGATACAATCAAGAAAGACTTATTCGCCAGCGGGTCTCCGCACCCGGCGACAGCACCAGAAGCGAGCAACCTTAGTCCGCATGTGTCGTGTATTGCATCCGGCCAACTTGCAATACTGTAGCAAAGCTGCTGCTATAAGTTAGTTGAGAATGGATAGCGACATAGGATATATTGCTTCCATAGAAAGTATGGTACAATGGCGTAGTGGCTGTAGCGGCCCTATTCCGGGAATGTGAGGTGGTCTAAAGCTTCAACGGGTTCACTCGTTTGTGCGCTGGTTCAAGACCGTCCCCTCCAGAAAACTTGGTGACTTTGACTGTCCACCGCGGAAGCGGAGACATGGTCTGGTGTAATCCGCCCTTGACTGGCCAGGGAAGCAATTCCGCAACCTGCAGGGTGTGCCGAGTTAGTCTTAGGAGATAAGGACGAGTCGTCTGTTCGCGCAAATGGGCCGTGCTCTTCACAAACCTTTTTGGCTTTTCCGTTTGTTGTTTTTCCTGATGTTACAACATGGCTATGTCTATTCTTTTAGTGTTGGGCAACATTATAATTGTGGCCACAAGCATGTTATCTTACGATTTAGACGTGACAGCGTACTATTGTGCGTCCCAGGCATATAGACAAGCGAATGGGATTACAGTAAAGACACAGTTAACAATATGCACAGAAGAGCCAATACCATCCTCAAGACAGTTACAAAACTACCCCAAAGCCCATCATTTAACAACACTTGCTATTCTGGTTAGTGTTAGAATCAACACTCGGGGCAACAGTGATGGAATCGCCTGATGATGGCTTGATTGGGTCTGAAGATTGCTCGAGGGATTTACTCGAAACGATGCGATAAATGTCTGTCAGGTAATTGCCATTAGGAAAAATGCATCATCAAGCGAAACGAAAACAAATACCGGTAAGGATAGTCTGGAATGCCGACTCGACGTTCGATGCGTCCAGCGCTGACGTCTCGATGAATGACAGACCATTCTCCGCTAAAAGGAAATGTGAACCTAGTGCTTCATAACAAGATTATGAGACACACTCGCGAATGTTTTCGCCTCATCCGTTGGGACAGCACGAAGATGTTTCAAATCGCTCTTGTTCCCAACGAGCATTATCACGATGTTCGAGTCGGCATGGTCGCGGAGCTCTTTCAACCACCTTGTAACATCGACGTAGGTACCGTGCTTAGCAATGTCATAGACAAGCAGGGCCCCAACAGCACCACGGTAGTAGCTGAGAACAGTTTTTAAGCATACATTTTGCGATTTAAAGAGCAGTATACTCACGCAGCCGTGATCGCACGATACCGTTCCTGGCCAGCTGTAAGACCCCATATTAGCGGCCGCACAACTCAATCCGGCGCCTTCTCCCAGCGATACATCCCACCTTCCACCCTCCTCAATACACATACACCGAGGTTCACCTCATAAAGAAAACGAGAAACAAAGCTCACCAGTGTCCCATATCTGTGCTTTCAACGTCTTGCCGTCTACAGTAATTGAGCGAGTAGCAAACTCCACACCGATAGTCGACTTCGTCTCCAAGTTGAACTCATTCCGGGTGAATCGCGAAAGCACTGCGCTAACGTCAGAAAACCTAGAGCAGCCACGAAATGCGCCTAGCGGACAACGTACAGTTACTATGTTGGGATACGAATGATAGAATGAATTTTATGAGTCGAGAAGTGGCTAAGCATGCACGGAGAGGAACGCACGATTTTCCGACACCGGAGTCCCCAATGAGTACAACCTGGGAGTGTTATAGGGCTGTAGCTCAAGTCGTTCTGTTCAAGAACAGAGGTTACGCACCTTGAAGAGATAATCGAAGTTGCTGCCTTCAGCCATGTTCGTATGTCAAGTAAATAGATGAGTCGTGAACTTGGGCGTAGAGGGGAATCCGTCAAAAGGCGTGCAGAGGTAAGTGCAGGATGAGGGACGTGGATTCACTGCAATGGACGGCGCGATTCGCGAGGCAGTGAGAAGTCAGCGGAGTTTTAAATATCCTGATATGGCGCGGCGCTTGAGCAAACGTTCCGACTCGTTGCGTGCGCCTTGTGTTGCCTGCGTTGCTGCTCACCTTATCGTCTTTCTAATTCAGCACTTATGCACCTCCACATATTCTATGCCATTCGTCTTCGTTTTCAGAAAAAGAGTTGAGTTGACAGGAGTTTTGTATACGCCCCATGCTACGCGCCAAAATATACTGCGCTGACGACTAGTGGAAAACCTTGATCCGAAATATCGTTGCTGGTGTCGGCTCATAACTTCATCGTGAAATCCATGCATCGTGCGGTCCTCCTACAATCAAAGACAGGATCCTGAAGGTGTGTAGGCAGTCTATCTGAAGAGCAATCAACCACACAACGCGCCTTGTCCTTGAAAGCCCGTCTCGGAGCAATACATCAAGTCCTCGTCTTGTTTCTCCGTAGTCAAAAATGTCGTCTTGACTCTTCCTTAACGGTTCAGCCTCTGTTTTCATGATGTCGGTGTCCACTGTCGGTCCATTTGCTAGATCGTCAGATGTTTATCGGATTGGATCATTCGTTACCAGAGGCAGCGCTTCCCATCGGCCTTTTTCATAGGTCTATTACGCCAGGATCCTACGCTCTGCTATCGTGCTGCTCTGGGCTGCGAGTATTCTAGAACTACGTCCATTTCCTGTGAGACTGCGGTGGAGGCCGGGCCGCACAACGAACATTTACGCAGGTCACAAGCAACCTTGTCCGATACGACCTCGGCTTACTGGTCCTTCACCATTTATACAACACAACCGTGCCGGAACGAGGCTATTCCCAGTTCGACTTCATCGATCCTGACAGCGACGATGTCTATCCCTCATACAAAGCGTATTTGCCAGATTATTAAGGTCATCGCATATAATCTCTGCCTCTTTTGTGCTCAATAACACCAGACAAATGCAGTTGAAACCGGAAGCAGAGGCAGAGTACAAGACCCTGCACGCAGCGGCATGGCCAGGTGTCCTCGCGGCCCTCACCCAGCACCACATTGCGGACTATTCGATACATTACTATTCCCCTCTGCATTTGCTCATCGCCAACTTTAAATACACGGGCACCGATTTTGAAGGGGACATGCAGCAGATCGCAGAAGATCAGGAGACTCGTAGGTGGTGGGCGTTGACGGATGGAATGCAGGAGAGCTTCGTGGAAGGTGCGCAGGGAAGTGGCGGGAAGGTTTCCTGGTGGCTGGTGAGTTCTGTTGAGGTGCTTGCTTGTCATTCTGACCTTACATATATCTTCAGGATCTTGAGGAAGTATTCAGACTTGAAGGACAAACTTGAATCATATACGGATTACTGAAGTGAGTACTTATGATGTCTTAGTTTTCATGACCCTACAACAAGCACAATGTCCAACCTCCTTACGAACAAGGTCATATTGGTCGAATTAAGACGATACCTTCCCAGTTCTTTGAATCCAATGCCGGTTCAGCCGCCGGGTGATCCATAGCTGCCGCTATCGTTTCTCAGCATATTTGGATACGGGAATACAGTAAGCCCGTCGCCGCCCCAATATATCGACGATACATAAGACGACGAATAATGTAGCGAATTCAATGCAAGGCTGATTTAGGACTAGGCCGCCGCCTCGGTAGTCTCCTTTGCAGCTTCTGTGATATCCTCTTCTGCGTGGGCATCGTCGCCCAAGGCCTCCTTTGCCGCTGTATCGTTCTCTTTCGTCTCCGCACCGTTCTCCACATGTTCTTCTGTTTGTTCCTCTTTTCCCTCTTCTCCCGTCTCTTCCTTTGCACCCTTACTGCCCATGACGGTGGCGTTGATACTGACAGCACATGAATTAGCCATCGCTGAACCATTCACTACAGATAGCAGCCTTAGGGATACTCACGTCAGCATGACATGAACCTTCTCCTTCTCGCCCTCCACGCCTTCTTGATTCGGCAGCTCGATGGTAACGCGTTTGCTCCCCTTCCAGCCGTAGCTGCCGGTCGCGAACGTACTTGGGACGAGCGTCGTGGTTCCAACGAAGCCTGGGTCAACAGAAGCAACAGACGTGATCTCCTGGCCCTCGGGCTTGTCTGCCGCGTCGGGAAGAGGGGGCGGTGTGTGTGTGATGTTCACATGTAGCGGCATCGCGCGCGACTTGAACGCCGAGGCGGCGAGATTCACCTGGGTGATGCGGAGAGCATTCTGGAGTGAGGTATTGATGCTCGGAATGCGGAGAGACACGCGCACCTTGGGGCCTCTCTTACCTCCTCTGCCGCGGGTCTTGGGGCTTGCGCCTTCGGTCTTGGGCGCCTTTGCAGAACGGGTGGTGGGCCCATTCGTCTCGTCTTCTGCAGCGCGTTTCGTCCCTACCGTGAAATATTCAGTTGGCGGGCTCTACGGAATCTCGCGGACGACCTCACCAGCCATGGCTATTTCGCGGGGTGTGTTTGGGCTAGAGTAAGTCAGATAAAGAAAGAGGAAGGTGGGAAAAGGGGACTGGAGATAAAGTCGGGGTATTTGATGATATTTCTTGCGCGCGGGAAAAGGGGTCTTGGGTGGACAGACCCCATGACAACCGCGTGCGCATTCAACAAACTCCCTCTTGGAGTCGCGCCCTGTTGACGTAACGCGTCAGACGCGTCTGTGGCGCTGCACGTGATCCGCCGCTCCGGCATCCTTCAATAAGTAATGCATAGTACATGTAAACATACCCTACAGGGATTGAAGCACCATCACGCAACACTAGCAAGCCGCAAACCACAGAAACCCATAGCAGAGCGCATTCACCTCCTCGGGTCTCTTCTATCCCGAGCATCTGAAGTCGACCTCCATCGGTCTCGGTGTCCGTCGTACCCTCTGTCTCTTGCGCGTTCCCGGTCCCTCGAATCATCCCGCCTCCTCCTATCATACCCGTCCGCTGGTCGTCGCACGTCCCTATCGTCATCGCGGTTCCGTCTAGGCAGAGACCGAGAACGCGCCCGACGCGGTGGGCTGTCATCGGAACTGTCATCATCTGAATCCGTATCTGAATCCGTGTCCGAATCCGTGTCCGAAGAGTCGGATGACGAAGACTCCGCTTCCAGCATCGCTCTGCGCTGCTCCATAATAATTCTGGGGGCATTCTGTCGAAGCATAGGTCAGAAATCATCATAGAGTATCCCAATGTTCGATGTACCTTTAAGTGCTCGCGCATCTCCTCAGTCACAGCGCCCAGTCCGATACTGGTAAAATAGTTGATTGCGAACCTGGTGTCCTTCGGGTTATCCATAGGAAACATGCCTTTGCACGCCGCCTTGACTTCGGCATCCTTGAACCGCTCGACTAGTGTCTTTAATCCCATCGACTCGGTCACCTCATTCATCATGATCTTGATGAAAATACGACTACTTGATGTAGTGTCCTCTTCAGTGAGCTTAATGTGCTCTAGCGCGGCCCATGAGACCGAATCCGTGGCAAAAATATGCCCAAAGAAACGAGCAATATTCCGCAAGCGATTCGTCTCGTATCGGTGAATCGTTGTGTAGTAGTTGCCAAAAGCTTCCTCGAAGCAATCATGCCAAACTCGATTGAGTTTGCAGAAGCGCTCCCCAATCAGACCATAGAATGTAGAGTAGGACCGTTCTTGTGAACAGCATTCAATGATCATGTTGCACATTTCAATCTGTCTGACGATTAATCCAGCAGTCCGAAAATGAACGAATTTGCATACCTCTTGACCTTCTTTGACTTGAACTTTGAGCAGCTTGTGAACCGCTTCTTCATAACTGAGGGCATTCATGATGGTCAAATAAATCACTCGTCGCAAATTAATGAGATTGGTTTCCGTGCGGTCCTCGATGCCTTCCTTCTCCTCCACAGCTACAAGTCTGGATTTAGAAGGGATTCGCAAAATGTGAATGCTATGTGTCGACTCACCTTCTTCCTCATCTTCGTCGCTAGATTCCTCAGACCCGCTTCCTTCGTCCTCTGACTCTCCAAGGATCTCAGTTTTAATGGCTTTGTAACGTTCCTCATTCTCTGTGTATTTTGGATCAAACTTGAAGATGTCTGTCATTGCTGTCAGTGAATCAACTTTTCAAACCATGTTCGAGTACTCACTTAGGCCCTCCTGGACTTGAAGCTCTTCCTCTAGCTGAATTTGGTGTGTAATTTGATCATCTTCTTCAACCAGGTCAAGGCCCTCTGGAATGATAGGGTTGTCCTTGTATTTGTCCTTGCGCACCTGCATGAGCACCTCGATCATGTACTGCACACGATGACTGATGGTGCCTTCGTTCAAGACTGCTCGAAACCGCTCGAACACGGTCGCATTCGCTTTCGGTGAGTTCTCGGCAAGGAAAGCTCCAACCTCGCGGGTAAATCCGACAGCGATTTCGATAGAATCATCTGTGGGTCGTTCAAGGAGCAGGACGAGAATTTGCAGAGCAATAATCTCGTGCGCGACTCCTTGATTAACGAGATGCGCAATGAATGTCGTGGTGGAGTGGCATACAATCTAAAGAAGTTATCAACGCATAGTCACAACAATCAGAACGACGTAATGTACCTTGTCATTTCGCTTGAATGACCGCCGGAACTGGCTGATGAGGCGAGTCAGCACCAGCTCGCCTACCTGAGGTAACTTTGTGTTGATAATGGACACGAGGGCCGCAAAAACAGGCGTGAAAGGCAAACTTGCCGCCTGAGCCTTCATGACGCTGCGCGCGAAAAGACCCCTACCTCGAATAAGATTCTCCTCAAAAAGCTCCGGTACGATATGCTTTATGTTTGCGATGTTCACTCGATTGACAATACCAGTTATGGACTTGCGCAATGCGTCCCACGAGAGTCGCTGATACTCTGCGCTCGACTTGTCCTTCGATGCGGCTTCTTGCAGTGCACGTAGGCGGGCTGGGGGCATATACATGCCACCAGATCGAGTGTTCGTAAGCTTCGCAAATTCGGCTTTGGCGTCGAACTCCCTGTTTTTGTCCTTGTCCTCTCCCTTCTCCATCTTCTCCAGTTCAATTGCCGCCATGCGTGCGGCAAGCTGCTTCTCCCGCTCAGCACGACGTACAGGGTCAACATCGTTGACTTTTGGTACTTCAACAAGACGGGCAGGAGGAGCAGGAGACAACGACCTGCGCCGACTGGAAGGAGGTTGCTCCGAGTTCTCGAGTTCTCGAGAGCGGGACCTAAGAACAAATGAGAAGGGGTTAAATAGAAAATATGATAAAATATAGCGCACCTCTTGCGCTTTTGGAACTGACCATCTGGAAGGGCCGCAGGAGACATCACGGCGGTCGCCATTGTCGAAGATAAACTTGTCACTGCTGTATGTTGCAGAATAGGCGCCGAGCTGGCTCTTGCTTTGCGTGTGTTTGGTCACTCCTCCGTTTCTAGATCTCCTCGGTATTCCCTCGGGCATGCCACAATCATCCCCGCTTCTAACGCTCAGGCTCGTCCTAAGCCCATCAGTCTTGTTACTTCAACCATTGGTAGTCTCCTCGATTTTTTCCCTTCCAATTTATATCAACAGCTAGCTTGTACATATACCCATAGCCAGCTTATCCAGATAGTGCAGCACCGTGCGTCCCAGCCTGTCCAATAGAATCCACTCCGATTTGCTCTCCCACATCATATCGAATCTTTGGATCGACGACATGGAGCTACCTGCTATCACAAGAGTCAGTCTGCATTCCTCTTGTTTGTGGTGCACCATTCTTCATGACGGGGGCATCACAGGTTAGCAGATCGGTCATTCGGATCCTGGGTCAGGTATCGTACTGCGTCCTCATTTAGACCAGCATCGGATAAGTTGGACTTAATGGTCGCTTTAGAACCCTGGGACTTACACATTGCAAGGCAAGTTGTCTGATGCTCAATCGCCATTCACTTTCTGAAGGTCTTTCACAGGAACGAACACCTATTTGGTGGGGGAACAGAACCCTTACATCCTCATTGACACAGGCGAGGGGCGGGATGAATACATTCCTATTCTTCAGGGAGCGCTGCAGGATCCATCACACCACGTTCTTACAGACAAACCGCATGTCTCGGATATTGTTCTGACCCACAAACATCATGACCACTGCCAGGGCCTGCCTTCCGTTCTGCATCTGCTTCGACAGATGTGGCTCGACAATCCCAAGACGCGGTCTCTCCCATACAATCCTCCGCGCATTCACAAATACCCCCTCAGCGCACCCGACGGTAAACTTCAGTCTATCGTCGACTCACTATCGACCTTGCCTAATGGCTCGTTTTCTCCCGATCCCTCCGGTAAACCTATCCATGATCTCTACGATGCACAAAAATTGCCTGTGACCACCACATCACCCGATTCGAGCCGGTCTATCTTAGAGATCTTACATACTCCGGGACATACCTCCGATTCTATATGCCTCTACTATCCCCCCGACTGCTCCCTTTTCACGGCTGACACCGTTCTCGGACATGGCAGCTCTGTATTCGAGGTCCTTGGGATATATATGGCATCCTTGCGCAAGATCATTGCCTTCGGTGAGAATGGCGAGAAGTATGGTCCCGTGTATCCAGGACATGGGCCAGTGGTGTCGAATGGCTTGGGTCAGGTCACCACATATCTAAAGCATCGCGTAGCGCGGGAGACACAGATTTTGGAGGTGATTCAGAAGCCGCCTCCTTCGAACAGGTATTGGACGACGTGGTCCATCGTTTCGTCCATATATGCGGACTACCCAAGAGATTTATGGGAGGCCGCAGCGCGCAGTGTCGACATGCACTTGCACAAGCTGGAGAGCGACGGCCTAGTTGAGGGCCAAGGAGGGGAAGGGAAACACACTGAGTGGAACTTTATTGGATAAGCCTCATCGGTGATGGGCCACATATCGAGAATTCGATCCTATTCAGCCTATATAGAGATATCGTGGAATAATATTTGCCAGTCAGGATGTACTACATAACAATATGGGACGAGAACTCGGGAGGTATATGCGAATTACAGAGCATCAAAGTTGATGTGATGTGAGACTCGTCTGCGCTCGAGTTCGTCTTCCCTCTGTGATTGTGTGTATCTCAGCGAAGATGCATATAAAGCGAGCGTACGACCGTACCTTCTCGTTCAGATGGAGCACAAACACGATCACCGCTAGCAAAACAGTAGCAGCTACAACAGTCAGCATCACCCATGGGATCCATTCTCCCGGACGCAGATACAGTTCCCTCTTCCACGTATCATCTCCTTCCATTGGAGGAATGATAACCACTTTTGAATTTGGAACCACGCCCTCCATGTTGATATAATGCTTTTCGCTGTGCTTGGTTGAGCCAACGAACATGTTCTCAATGTAATTGTTGGTACGCCCCAGTCCGAAGTACGCGTACGGCGTGAGGAGTGACTGGTACGACGTTTGTGGAAGTTGGCCAACTGCACAGACTCAGTGCGATGATAAGGCGCCGGAGTGCACTCCTACTGACCTTCGGCTGCGGATCGGCGCCCGGACGTGTCCAACACCGTGTACTTGTAAGTTGCGCCAGAATAGCTGACGCCGAAGGGCTGAAGGATATTAGCCAACTCGAAAGTTGCTTATCAGCAAAGACATACATGATATGTCCCAGAGCCGTTCGGATTCTTGCAGAGGCCACTCCCGCATGCACCGTTCAGGACTAACCGAGTATGAGTTGTTGAGGATTGCTATCACCCATAAGACTCACCGATTGCCTTCAGGAAGAACGCATCATTATAGAAATTGTTCTGCACAAACAAGATGTTTCCCTGCCCCTGAGCACCCGTACGTTGTACCATAATATCCAGAGTGCCCTACAGCGTGTAAAACTTAGTCAAGACTTGCCCTACGGACATGGTTGACACTCACATCCTCATCCATGTCCAGCAACGTAGCAGATCGTGCATCCTGCACACTCCTGAGTACTTCTGCGCCTTTCTTGACATTTTTGAACCCCCGGCGGCCGTGGCCGTTCGAACCACAACCGCCAACCCCGGTACTACATGGAACAGAGAGTGCGAGTTGGGGCGTACGGGGGCTACCCGAGCCTGTGCCCGAAGCAACAATTGCCAGAATGTCGGGGAAGCCATCCTGGTTGGCATCACCTAACTTTAGAGTGACCGGAAGAGCGGGGTTCTGGGTCGTGTCCTGGACGAGCAGCGAAGCTGGGGTTGTCGACCCCGGAGCCGAAGAAAAGACATCGGACACAGGGAAGCGCACAAAAGCCTAGCAACGAAATGTTTACTGGCAAATGAATCAAACGAGGGGTGCACGACTTACGTCGTTACCGCTCCGTTGACTCAGGTCGAAGCGGAAATCCGGGTCGGCCGTACACAACTGATCTGGTGGACGACATATACGCTTGCCGTTTTGGACGCCCGAGCTCGTACTCGAGGAGCAAAGGGGTAACTGTTGGTTATATGCTATATTGATATAGCAGTCCTTGCCGATGCCTGTGCTTGACGACACTGATGAGCAGGTAGCAAAAACCATGTCGATGGTTCCATCTCGATCTAGAGCAAGGATATAGTAATAATCAGTGATGACACTTATTTTGCGAAAATGTGGTTGTACCAATATCTCCAAAGGAAATTGTCTGCGTCCCTTGAGGAAGTCGCTCCTGCTGCGCGAGAGCAAATCCATCATCCTTGTTATTGACCCAAATTTGGAAATATTTCCGCCCGTTGCCCTCGTCACAAACCAAGAATATATCTGCGACTGTGAGTAGTAGTATGGATGGCATAGAGTCGCGTACTGACCAGCTAAGCAGTCGCCATTCAAGTCGATTGCAGCATTGCTATGCGGATTCGCTAAGGTACACTGAGCACCGTTAAATTTTGGACGTTTACTGCGATAACATTAGGAATGTAATGATATATACAACAATTGATAGCTTACAGATTAAATACTGGGCTGTTCTGTTGCGACGCATTCCATACGTTCTCCCATACTTTGTAGGGGGCATTCCGATCAGGCGGCGAGGAGATTCCAAACAAATCTATCTTCATGTCGCCATTTAAGTCCATTGGTATGGGCTGGGCCAGTGTGGACGGGGTCGTTGAACTTGGATGCAGTTCTGTGCGTATAGATGTAGCACTAAGCAGATAGAAGCAGAAAGTGGAAGCATACCGAAGGCACCCCCTGGGCGGGCGACATATAATTGAATGGAAAGTTGACTACTAGACGCAGTTTGGCCCAACACAAGCAAATCTAGTCTTCCATCCTGCGTAAAATCTCCAGGCACAACGTTGTAGACCCTCCGTGGATGCCGGAAGACCGCAGACTTCTTGAACGTGTATTCATCTTACGCCTCGTCAGCGTGATGCCAAGTCAGAAATAGTACAGGCGTACCATGATCCCATAGATATACTGACATGGTTTGGCGGTCGGATGCAAGACCAAGTAAATCCAAGCTTAGATTGACCTAAGCACCACATCAAACGACTCACAAAGTGCGCTCACAACTGGTCGCCATTGAAGTCACCAAACGCGATTATAGTCTCGTCTGCATCGACACCTCTGGATCCTGCATCGAGAAGTGCATTTCCGCTGAATCTCTTCGGAGAGAATGGCCAGATTGCATCCGCGGGAGATATCAGTCGAACGAGAAGTAAGGCAGCTACAGGTAACCAGGATGATCTGAAACCCCGCATGCTATTGAAAATAGTGTCTAGCCAGGTTCCCAATGACTCGGGATTAGCGGAGGATAAGTTATGGATATAGTTGTGGCCAACCAGACACGAAGTGATGAGTCTGCGGTGTCGAACAAGAAAATGCGTGCAATGGACGGAAGCGTGTGGCAGAGGGTGCGGCTTTCTGATCAGACCTTCAAAGCTTCAGGCTTCAGAAATCAGCTGCGCAGGGTGCAAAGCCAGGCAAAGCCGTGGCCACCGTGACGATCGTGGTTTGGTGACCGACGGTAAATACCGAACAAAGCTCGAGAATAGGCGCACAAATAAATGGACCCGGAGCTCGGTAAATAGCTCGGGTTTGCGGCGACCGCAACATCTCTCGAGCCAATCTCGAGCGGAGCCAGAGATTATCCTCCTTCCGTGAATCAATGCAGCGAAATCGTTCGAAAAAGCTTCCTTGTCTCATGCCATTCTCACTTTTTGAGACATGCTACAGGTACAATGCTGCTGGGCAAGCCGGATGAGCAACGCCACAGTGGAGATCTTCCTGGTCGCTGTTCTCGGTTATGTTCCATTATTGTGCAGGCGCGGTAAGTTCGTAATTTTTGGTGTGGGTCAAAGCATTCTGAGGCCACCAAAGCTGGTCTCCACCGCGCTTTGACTGACATGAAGCAATATCGTGGCCCTTCGCCACGCTTGAAATATGGATACATCCCTTTAAAAGGAGGATGCATCTCTAACTTCTAGTCAGCATCAACTTCACCGACTATGAGCAAGCAAAGCCCCGCCAACAGAGAAGTGCGACTGGAGTTCCAATCGCCGTCTACTCCCCGCCCAGCAATTACCGACCAGCCCGTGAGTCCTTGGCTTTTATTATTGTTTCCAAAGCTACAAATCTAACAGGCGCAGGCTCGACCATCGGCTCGAGGTGTCCGTGATGGGCGTATCACGAAAAATAAGGCAGCACCTTCCATATTTTTACCATCGCCAAAGAAATCGAAAGGTAGGAGCAAGCCATTCTAGAGCGATTCGTATGATTCGTTGACTTTCTCGCTTCATGCAGGTGATCCCACGATCAAGCTGGATGTAGAGACGAAGCCAGGAAGGCGGGTGTTGCATGCCACCATCGCCCAATATGCGCACGAGCATAAATTTACGCGACACAACGGGACCATCAGTGGTGATGTTGTACGTTACACCAAGGTATGCAATGCAATTATGCCCTGGCTACGCATCTTATTTCTCTGTCAGAACGGATACCTTCCAATTGTGGTTTTGTCTCGTATAAATTGCTTTGGTGCTGAACAAGTTCCGGGCGGCGCGGATGGCTACGTTTATTCCGACTCAGCAGTACTGCCAGAGGTTCAGAAATATCCCTCTTTCCACTTATTTGTCCATACCACGCATGGCGGTACAAATAAACATGACGCCGCCATATATCGTGGGGTATATTCTGCGCAGATTACACAGACGTTAATGCCATCAAGCGAGATTTTGAAGTCTACAAAAGTGGTGAGTGAGTTGGAAGTGTATAACTACATCATTCTAAGCACAGCATTTGACAGGAACGTGAGACCTTGAATTGGTTCGAAACAACTCGGGATCGAAACATTAGCACGGCATCATTTACGCAAAGGAACGCAGATGACCGCCGGTTGCCCTTGGTTAATCTGAAGTACCACAGATTCGATCACACATTTTGGAATGTAATACGACAAGTGGACGGGACTCTGTCAGTACAAGTATCTCCTTCCTCGAGACCTGTATCTCCACTCCAGGGACGAACTTCTCTCGAGGGGCGGATTTCCCCTCTCATGACCAGGAAGCCCCAAAACAAGATTAGACAGGCTAACAAAGAATTCGATAAAGCCTATCCAAAATCTAGGTAATGAGAACCTTCCGATGAGTTATACAAGCTTGATCTGTGTCGGTATATCTGTATGTTATGTCTATGTCTTAGTAGGATCTACTTATGCCTCCGCTGTGTCATCTACTTATCCATTTGTTATATCATCCGCTTATGCCACCGTGTTCTTACAATATCTGCTCTATACCGCTCTAGACTTGTCCAATTTGTAATAGGTTTCTGCACGTTCCGTCAGCCGAGATTCAAACATTGCAATTTGAAGCCGAAACGCAGGGCGCCAAATGGCTGAGAAGGAAGCTATGCCGCTGCGCGATTGACACACCGCGTACAAACACTGGCTTTAGCGTGCATTGAAGTCTCCACACGCTCACACACGCTGCCTCTTCTTCAACTCATGGGTATTAGATACCCCCTTAACCCAATTGAAAGCTATATGAACTACACAAGTTCTGAGGTAAACAATGTAGCAGCAGGACATCCCGAGCAGCGCACGACGGCTGGACACATCCATGCTCCGAATTCATGAAAGACAGAACAACAAGGAAACCAGGCAGGGGGCAGGATGTGTGTATTGGAGCTGAGCAGTAACGGAAGGCGAAAGAAACACATATATCGGAATCGTGGCATCGAGGTAGGCTCATGATACGACGGGTAACATGCGGCATGCTTGTCATCCTCAGACAATGACGCAATGGCGCTTCTTCTTGAAGACCGGTGGTTCGAGAGCAGCGACAATAGCCTGTTTTCACGATGAAACATCAAGCAAGTTGAGAGTAGCCATAATCGCACTCACCTCATCGAACACGTTCTTCAAACCCTTCTGCGTCAATGCTGAGCACTCCACATACTTAACCGCTCCGAGTTCCCGAGCAAGTCGCTCGCCCTGTTCGCTCGTTACCGGCCGCTGCTTTTGTCTTGCCAACTTCTCCAGTACCTGAGGATCGTCTCGTAGATCGATCTGCGTGCCGACGATGAGGCAAGGAACGCCAGGACAGTGATGGTGAACCTCTGGGAACCATTTCTCCTTGACGTTCTCAAAGGATGCTGGTGAAGTCACACTGAAGCAGACTAAAAAGACGTCCGTTTGTGGGTATGACAATGGCCGAAGACGATCGTAATCCTCCTGACCTGTGAATGTAAACGTCTAATCATCGAACAGTTTGAGTCGGGTGGGACCACACATACCGGCCGTATCAAACAGTCCCAATGTATACGGGTCATCACCAATCATGACAGTGACAGCATAGTTGTCGAAGACCTGTCACTACATATGAACACCTGTCCTCTCAAAGGTTATCGAGTAAGCTGATACGCACAGTCGGAACGTATTCACTTGGGAATTTATTCGTTGTGTACGAGATCAGCAGGCAAGTCTGCCAGCATACACAGGGTGCACCGGCGATCAACTGTGGGCCAGCATGCACATGGACGACACGACGCACCTTGCCGACCGCACCGTCACCAACTACTACACATTTGATCGTCTGCATAGTTCAGGAGATGTTCTAAAATCTGAGGCAGACGTCGGAAACTAGGAGAGGCAAGTTAGTGTGAGCTGAAAGAATTCGAGACCGGTCTTGCGAGGCGCGCGCCATTGGTGCCTCTCTATAGCCGACGTGGTAGCAACACAGCCTTCCGACACAAGTACCGAGGGCCTGAACTGCAGCGGATGAGCCCTCACCTTGTAGTATATATCTTGCGGCTGCAGCTGGAGAATAGCACAGGAAAAGGTTCTATCTGTAAAATGGAACCAAAACGTGGTCTCAGACCAACCTGAACACGCGGTTACTGCGCCTGGTTTCCTGGGACGCGACGCGCCGAGAGGACGAACCTGAGGGAAGGGCAAGCGAGGCGAGAGTGAAGCTTGACGTTGACGACGTGGGCCGCGACGAGCAAGTGAACGAGTGCGACTGCCTGGCTGCCTCGCGGAGTCCTAACAACAGTTGACCGTCTCACCGCCCTCCGCGGCATGCCTGCCCTGAATTGGGTTCTCGCCACATTCCGCTCCCGACCAACATTCCACAAGTCGGGAAACTCCCAATCGGTCTCAAAAAATTATCTACAGAGAAACTTACTGAACTCCCGGCTCATAATGCTCAAATTAGAGAGCATCGGGCCCACTGAAATTTTTCTCTAATTTTTTTTCTCGGAAAGAGACTCGAACCAGTTCGATCTAGTGTCATCAAATCGAACCGATCGCTTCGAACCACGTCGAGTGCTGCTCGCTGCCAAATATGGAACTTGCACAACATGTCGTCGACGGTGACGGTGATAGAGCCGTCCAGGTGGGGAAACATATATTCGAATTGTCGCCGGCTGCTAACAGTTCGTGGTCAGATGGAAGAATCTTCCACCGCCCCCAGGATTCGGTGTGTCGAGTACTTCGGTGCGTCCTCCTTCGTAGCCTGAGCCACTTGCTAAAGCTGTTCATGTTCAGTCTAAGGCTACAAGCAAGGCGCCGGCATCTACAACAGCATCATATGAAACACTGAAGAGCAAGCGGGCATGGGACTTTGCTATTTCTCCTGCAAAGTCGCTCCCAATGCAGGGGTTCATGCTCTACATGTCTGGGGGCGGTGTCCAAATATTCAGTATGGGGATTGTATTCATGTTGCTCAGTAGCCCTTTCAAGAATCTCGCGGGAATCAACACTGGTTAGCGTCTCCTTCACTGACAGACTTTACATCTTCATAATCACGCGATGAATAGCCTTCGCCCCCTTTGCGCCCCGCTCCTCCCAGGCAGATGCATTGTCAACACTCGCTTTACCCAAAGTCGTGTATTTATTGTGTAACCTCCTCACTCTGGCTCTTGGTCTCTGGAAATGTCGGTCAATGGGTCTACTACCAACTGGTACAGGTGATTGGCTAGCTTTTGAAACAAGAGGCTTGGTGCGTGTTCTGGGTTTGGTTCATCGCGCAATTTGACATTAACGATGAATCGTGACAGCCCGCCGAGATGTCGTTGCTATAAAGCCCGCTACTTAGCCTTAAAAACAAAACGCCATTTCCTTGACATGCAATTTCACAACACCTTATACTTGTATGGGTGGTGTATTCGAAACAAGATTGGGTACTTCGTGGACAGGATGTGGCAGCTTAATCTGTTGAACTAGCATGGGAGTTCGTAGACGACTGGTTATAACGTGTGGACAATAACGACGTCATCCAGACCCTGTGGTTTCGAGTGATTTGCTGTGCGTATGCAGGATTTTGTAGCACTCATCACAGGCGTGTTCCATTGAGGATGATGTCGAGAATGATCCTGAAGCTATCTATCCATATATCGACTTAGTCCATGCGCTTTCAGGTTCGAGATTCGAGGACAATGCGAAGACATTTGCCGAAAACAGTACCGATTATATGATCATATCCATAATAGCGGTGAATTATTGTTGTTGGCACCCTATAAGATGGGAGGATATGGGGAGCACAGATCAATCGCATCAACCTGCGCTGGAGCTAATACAGTCGCATCCGAGTGGGCTCTACGTGCAGCTCGACCTTGATAGCGACATCACATGGATTGGCACACCTTGGCTGGTTCAGAAAAGACTGGGAGATCTAGACAGTGAACAGGTCACTTCAAGGACCTGCTAGTCCTATCCGAGATAATCTTATTATCTCGACTATCTAGCCGTCTTGTGGGACGGCGCGCAGACTTCGAGCTCCGAGATGGCTTCCGGTTATTCGTAGAGATGAAAGATGTCGAGGAAGCAACTCACCGGCCACCGATACATGTGCCATTGGGTCCATTCGCAACATCGCCGCTCTCCTTCGGCGACCCGGGTAGCCTGCTGGGGAGACCAGTCCTCTATAGCGTTTGTCCACGAGATCAACGAGCATGAATTCGTGTTCTACAACGACGTCCGTAGGGTTTGCATCGAGTCATGGATCGTCATCTTCAGAGACGGCGCTGGAAAAGGCCTGCTGGGTATGGGAGGTGAGCAAGTGAGCGAGGTCGAGACTTGAGAGAGCCAGCTTCGCTGTTCAGCCACCTGACCTCGTCGTCACTCCGACTCTCGTCTGGGACGGCTCGGGATTCAGGCCATCCTGATTTCTTACCCGGCTCAGGATCCCTTCGAGCTGGGATCGCTCGGATTCCGCGACGAGGGGCCGTTGGCAAAGTACATATAACATATACACTGCTTCTATCCTATCGCAATCCCCTTGTCGCAATCTCCTCATCTATCTGATCCCTCCCTGCTGCTCTTCCTAAGTCTCTACCGATGGCTGCCCAATCCCGCCCATCGAAGGGGACGGCGGGGTCGCCGCTTCGCGTTGCGACGAACTCCTTCGAGATCGTTCGCCGTCCTAGGGCGACGTATTACCATTACGATGGTAGGTCTCTTCATTGCTAATTATTGATCTGTCCCCGTATGATACTGGCTTACATCCGACATAGTTGGTAAGCACTCGGCAGCTCGGTATCCGAGACATGATTTGACATTCTAAACTAGACATAAAACCAGAAGTCGGCAAATCTCATCGCGCGCATGAGATTATCTACAAGTTACAGGAAGATAACCCTCAAGTATTTACCCCACGGGCTGTATATGACGGCCGTGCAAACCTCTTCTCGACAAGAAACATCAATTCGGGGGAGGTATGAATGATACTCATCTTTGAATAGCAAGTTTTGATGTAATCTGTGATTAAGTATACTGTCACTATGTCCAGAATCCCAGGCCGAGGGGTATTTACTATCAAAATTATGCGGGTTGCGACAATCCGGCCGAGGCACGCCACATCGCGATTGTTTCTGCTATTTTCTCATACTACCCTAGTGACATCGACCAACTGACCATGCCGGGAGGCGCCGGCGCGAATACAAATACAATGGCAGTCAACTTGCTACAAATAATAATTCGCCAAGCACCAAATATGTGTGTTGGGAGTCATGGTCTAAATGCATCCTGCGTCACTGATTGAGTCTGCCTGTAGACGTCATGGATTTAGTCCCGATGCTCGATCTTTCTTCACCAGCAGCCATTCGAAAGATCTTGCCCAAGGGCTGCAGGCGTGGCATGGTTTTTTCCAGTAAGCAATGGTCCATACTTTCCTAGGGCCATGCAAATTGACGTCTTGGTTGCAGGAGTGTTCGGCCGGTCTTAGGTCGCCTCTTGATCAACGTTGATGTGGCCAATGCAGTTGTGTGAATGCGATTCCAATACAGTTTCCCCCGTCCCACGCTCACTTAATGCAGATATGCACCCGGACCTCTGGAGACGTTAGCAATGAGGTTTCTCAATCTCCGCGATGTGCGCGATCTCGATCGTGTTCGTCCAGGGTCCCCCGAATGGCAAAAGCTGCGACAATTCCTCAAGGGGGTCTCTGTGACATTGAAAACGACGCGATCAGTCAGAGCGCGGCCTATCAAAGACCTCGTGGCGCAGGGCGGACTATTTGAATTTGAGAAGGATAATAAGATAACCACTGTTCAGGCAAGCAACATCCTTATCGGCGTAATTGTGCTCTAACCTTTTAAATCTACTTAGGAACATTTTCAGCAGCACCACAATATAAGATTGCGCTTCCCGAAGATTTTTGGAGTCCGTATTGGGAAAGATGCAGTGTTACCCGCGGAAGTGTGCACCGTTGCGCACGGCCAGGTATATAAGAAGAAGTTGTCACCCGAAATGCAAAGCAATTTTTTGAAGTTTTCGACACAAAGGCCGGACGCGCGGCTTAGACAAATTCAGGAGGGAATCAGTGGTCCGGTAGGTAAGAATATCAAGGATGTATCAGAGTCCTGATTTGCGGAATTGTAGACCCAGGTTTTAGATTATGCAACATCCCATTTCATTCAAGAGGCAGGTATGGAAATCGGGACGATGCCCATCAATATCAATGGGCGCGTTCTTCCCACACCCTCGATCAAGTATCAAAATCAAGTACTGGTAAGTTCTGTGTCGTCCGTTAGAATCACTTGGTGAACATATGTCTCAGAACCTAATAGCGAAGTCCGGCAAATGGAATGTTGTTCGACAGCGTTTGGAGAAGCCCGGCACGCTCAATGCCTGGGCGATCGTCGTGTTCGATCAGCAAGCGAATACTAACGTGGTACAAGGCTTTGTCAGAAAGTTGCAGGGAAACCTCGCAAGTCTCGGTGAGCCAACTGATACGTCGTGCCTGTCTCAACTCATGTCTCACTGCTATATTCAGGGATTAGTATGTTTTCATGACCTAATTTCCTCCTGTTAGTCCTAATCTATGTCTACAGCGACACGAGGGGAACCCTTCATTGCGGAAGGCCACCCTTACCAAGTAGAAGATGTGAGTTTGTATTTCTCACATCCTAGCTGCTTGTAACGGTCTGCCAGTCGCTTCAACATGCGGCATCGCAGAGTGTTAGAGGAGCCCCTCCCGGCACGGCGCCCAGTCTGCTCCTTGTACTTTTACCTAATAGCGCCGCCGAGATCCGCCGGAAGGTTAAACACTGGGGTGACGTGACGGTAGGTGTGCCGACTCAGTGCATTGTAAGTCTGAACATACACCTTGTCAATCGAAAGGGTACTCATGCTGCGTAGCGCCAGGGAAAGTGGGAACCTGCCAAGGACCAATATTGCAACAATGTCGCACTGAAGCAAGTGGCACAGTCTCCTAATAATCAATTTTTCATTAATGATTACCTCCAGAATCAATGCAAAGATCGGGGGTGTGAACTCAGTCTTGGCTACAACCTTAATGCCAGCAGGTACCATGGTGATCGGTATGTACACGGTGTGGATTGTGCTGTTCTCGGAGTACCCATAATTCTGCAGGCGCCGATGTCGGGCACCCAGGGCCCGGCGTTAAGGATCGTCCTTCGGTGACCGGCCTTGTCGCTTCTGTCGACGCAGAGGCGACACGGTACACTGCATACGCTGGAGTCCAGGAGCCCCGTACCGAGATTATCGCCAATTTAGCAGATATGTTGAGAGTAAGTCTGTCACCCCGTCGCTCTGCATTTCTCTTAGCAGAACTCATGTACGCAGAGCGCTATCCGCGACTTCGTAATGTATTGGAAAGGTAGATATCCGTTGAATATCGTGTTCTATCGCGATGGTGTTTCGGAAGGCGAATATGCCCAGGTAGCTGCGCAAGAAGTCAATGCGATCAATGGTATGTGGTGGTATGTATCACAGGGTAATCCCTAGGTGAACGAGCTCCTAGAGGTGCTTCTGTCGCTGCCACAGCTCAATCCTAAGGGTGAGTGGCTCCCGGGCACGAAAGCCTACCAGCCAGGGGCCAAACCGAAGCTGGTCTTCATCGTGGTCGGCAAAAGGCAAGTTGTGTACAACGCTATTTTCGCGTGATGTTCTTTATGATTGAGTCGACGTGGCTGTTAGGCATCACATCCGCTTCTTCCCATTGCAGGCGTAAGACTCTCGAATCCGGATACTGAACGAAGCAACTTAAATCCTATGTTTCATAGAGGAGAAGCCGACAGCTCGGGCAACTGCCCTCCGGGTTTCGTTGTAGATGACCAGATAACAAACGCAATGTATCCTGATTTTTATCTGCAATCTCACAGTGGCATTCAAGGAAGTAAGTCTTCTGGCTTGCGCATCTTGTACATCCCGAAATGACTCACTCTCGCTGACAGCGAGCCGACCGTCACATTACATAGTGATCGAGAACGAGCTTGGTCTGACCGCAGACATGTAAGTTTTCTTCCCTGCGAGGTATGTCACATCCCGACTGCCTATCCCAGCTATCAAGACCTTTCGTTTAAATTGTGCCATGTATATGCGAGTGCGACTCGTTCTGTGTCCATTCCGGCTCCGGTTTACTGTAAGTTATTTGGAGCCGTGCATGTACATGATCACTGATACGTTTCTAGACGCTGACGTATGCGCACTTATCTTTGCGCATGTTTCTTGTGAGCTAACCGCTATTTTAGCGTGTCTGCGCCCGCGCCGAGAACCACTTCAGCGAAAGCTTGCGTTTCGGTGAATCTGATGCTGGTACGACAGTTAGCGGACCGGACCCACCGTTTGAGCTGGAGCGCTGGCAAAATGGCTTTAATATTGGCCGGTTGAACCGCCAAATGTTCTTCCTGTAGCTGCTTATCAGGCTGTATGTGGCTTGGTCTGCTGGCACCTGAAGCTGTGGGCTGGTCTGTCTTCTATGTCATCTCTGTTTTTGCTTTCCGCTCTTGCTGCTACCTTTTCTTGTGTGATGATGGCGCTTCCCTTCGGTTTTTACCTGTTCACTGGCGTTATTTTGCTTGGTTACTCTGTCGAGAGGCTTTGGCGCGGGAACTCTGATCCAAGAATGCGTATCGATGGAGCGGGTTGTCGATCATGTATTTTCGTGTACGATGTGTAAGATAGCTTTAGGAACTAAGATTTGGAATGGATGGATGTGATACCGTATTTTCGAGAAACATTCGACAACCTGACTGCACACTTTCATCATTGTTCAATGGGGGAGAGCGCATGCGTGATATCAACTCATAGGCTCGCTCTGCAAGTACACATCACATTGCATACAGCCGCTTGCTCTAGAGTCCCTCTGCCTTTAATTCTCCCACTATCTTCGTCAACGCATCCTTCCTCATTGGAATCCATAACGCTTCTCCCGCACCTGCGCTCGAGATGACAACGGACACTACTACCCCGTGATCCCTGAACTCCCCCAACAACGCACGCAGCGCGGTGTCGCTCGTCGCCACGAACTCATCCCGCGCCGCGTTGAAAAGTCGTTCATAATCGTATGCTTCTGTCTGTGCCTGTGCCGCGCCACCTGCGCCAGAGGACTCAGCCATGAGTTCGAGCTGTCTGCTCCCCAGGAGAACGAATAGCCGCCGCGCCTTTTGGGTCACACTCGCAAGTACATGCCGGGCTGCGCTTTCTGAAATGATAGCTGTACCCGCCCCACCAGCGTGGCCCACGCCGGCACCCGCCGTGCGCTTGAGAGAAGAGGATAATGAAACCGCACCAGGATCCGCCCTGGCAAGCTCAAAGTCATACGGCGCGAGCGTCGTGAGGTCGTGCCAAAGCCATGCGAAGCCGCGCCGCGGGAGCATGTCCGCCCAGGCTTGAGTGCCATCAGGTTGCCCATCGGAAGCTCTTGCTTTGCCTTTTGCCGTCCCTCTCACTTTCGTCCGCCTGTGTTGCGGCGAGTACGGCGATTCCGCCTTGCGTGCGAACAACTCAGAGAGCGTCCAGCGTGAGGGTGCGGCGATGTGGTCGATAGATGCGACGATGTGGATGCGAGGAGCGAGTGCGAGCTGGGCGAGACACGCGTTCGCTTTCGTCGTACGCAAGCCGGGACCGTCGATGTTATGTATGACTAGAAACAGTCTTGACGCATTGGCCTCTTCTCCCTCCACTGAACGCGAGAAGTAGTCGAAAACGCGCTGCGTCTGCGCATCCACACTTGTCGATGTCGCACCCTGTCCCGCGCTCTGGCCCAACTCCTCCGCGTCCTGCAGTGCCGGGATCTGCTCTACCGAGCTGAGCAGCTCTTTCAGCGCGAAGCCGGGCTGGAACGCATTCGCTACAACGACATGGTGCCGCCCTTTCCCCTGTGCCGCGAGTGCGCGTGCAAACGCGTTGAGCACACACCGCTTTGAGCCGTACCCGTAGAACAGCAAATTGAATCCTTCGTCCAGCTCTTGCGCGTAACGCGCGAACAGCGGACGCTGTGCTGCGGGGTCCTCCCACAGCCGTGTCCTGGAAAGGGAGAGGGACGGCACGCGCTGTGCTCGCGCCTCTGCGCGTGCGAGTGCGGCGGTGTACTCTTCTGGTGAGAGTGGTGCGACAAGGTCGGAGAAAACGGAGGCGGACGTGCGAGACGGCTTGGAGGCGTGCAGGAAGTAGCTGTCGAACGTGGTCGGCGCGGTGAGCCCAGAATGGAATGGGTGGACGTCGTCGTCGTCGTCGTCATCGTCATTGTGGTCGCCAGCATAGACCCCAGAAAGCGCGGAGGACGGACGGGAGGAAGCAGACGGCGCGGAGGACGCCCAGCCTTCGAGCTCCTCGTCCTCGTCTGCAGACGAGGTGGCGTGTGCGTCGGTGTAGTCAGAGAGCATTGTAGGGGCGTGGAAGGGTTCAGCGTAGAGAAACCTATATCGACCGGTGGAGACAGAACGCAGCCACGGCCACAGAGATTGAAACAAACATCGTCCGTCTCCGGGTGGTTCTCGAGGGAAACGCAGTGGTGGCGGCAATTTCCCTGTTTGGTTCTCTCATCTCAACCGTACTCAGCCTTGTCCGGAATTTTTATTCAAAGCTGTCTCTGAGCCGCCTCTGCGCATATATGCTAGTGCCGGAGTTGTGGCTCCAAGGTTTGTCTTGTGTGACTCTCCTTCCCTTTTCAATTCGCGGATGTGAAGTCTAGCTCGTATATACGTACACAGTGGCCGGGCTATACTACTGCTACTAGTGTTTACACAACCGTTATTTCCTTCAACTGCAGCTCTGCTAAATTCTTCGGAAACAACGCCGCATCCCCCTCCCTAAGCTGCCGAAATAAACCAATGCGTGACCATTCCTCCCCTCTCGACCGTCGCACCACTAATCCAATGTCGAATGCCTCGCTCCCTGGTCCAAGGTATTCTGGAAGCCTTGCAATTAATAAACATGCCATTTCCTCCACACCATCCGTTTTCGAAATTGTGTCTGGATCCCAATCCACCTCTTCCCACTTAGGGAGTGGCATCTCTTTCCCTCCATTCAGTTTGCAAGCAGCGGTACATTTCACCCCTCGCATCGCCGCTTTCAGGCGAACATATCCTCGTTCTTCGGCCAACCCAACGTCTACAACCTCTGCTGCCCACCGCTTCTGCTCCTGAACTCCCACAGCCATCATTACCCTTCCCTCAATCCCCACCCAGGACCAGGTCGGCGAAAGATACATGCCTGTCTCTGGTCTTCTCGCCGGCTCCTCTACGAACCACAACATCTCCATCAGCAGTCGGTTTCTCCACATACCCCATACATTTTCCCAGCCTGTCAAGCTTTGAATTCGCTGTATGACACCCAGTATCGCCACCAACCTGTCGTCGAATCGCGTCAGTGAACATCGTGTGTACGAGATCTGAATATCTATCCAGTTGCTGTAATATTTCTCCTCGTTATTCTCCTGCTGTATGTCGAAGAAGGAGGCTTTCGGAGAGAACCTGCTTTTCTCGCCCCACGGAATCGCTTCTGTTGCAGAACAGTCCACGCATTCCCAGGCAAGACCCATGGAGCCGTAGTAAACCGTCCTTGGCGCAAGTATTCTCTCCTGAACGACCCACGCGCGGGTGTGCAACGGGAGTGGTGACAGCCCCTTTCGAAGATCAACTCCGATGTTAGAGTTGGCCTCCACGTACAAGTCGTCGAGCAACCGACATGGGCGAAAAAACAGCGGATTACGAGTATTATCGAAGAAGCAGCCCTCATGAGAATTGCGCGCGGCGAGCGCGGCGATAGTGCAAATAGAATTGGCGTATATCTCGCCCATGAACTGCGATTCGTAGGCCCAGTCCTGTGGAGAGTCTTGGATGATGCATAGGGAATCAATCCACAGATACCGATACCTAACATCCAATTGTGAGAATGGAGCTCCGAAACAAGGGAAAGAGTATGTACCCTAGTTCTCTAGTTGTAACTATCGCATGTTGGAATGTTTGTGGCAGGGTAGACTTTTCAATCCCGGACTTCAAGTCGTCGATGTTCTGCACAAGAAGTCGAAGGATTTCTGCCCCACCCCAGCAGTGACTTAGCGTCAAATAGCGAAGGTCATCAAGCTCCATTTTGTCCAATTCCTGCATGGGGACAAGCTTGGGGAGTACAACATCATCACTTCCGACATCAATGAGCCGACTGGGACGGCTCGTCATTCGTGCTGCTCTAGCCGCGTTTGTGCATTTAACATGGCTTTGCACGCATTGCCGTAACCACTCACGAGCCAACGAGAACGATGCTTGTGATGCCAGCGACTCTGCAATTTGCGCGTTTTCATAGATATTTGGGTTTGGGAATTGAAATCCCGTACAGCTGGTGGGGAGCGTGGTATGATTCTCTATGTCTTCGGCAGGCACGATGGCGAGTTCACCCATGGCTTGCTTTCTGCCCTCCCCCGCATGAAGTACCAGTGTTATCCCACCCGAGCGCGAGACTTGTAGCGTGACTATGATGGGTTCGGACGTCGGTGCTCCCTCCTGCTGCCGGACTTTGCCAAGGAAGAGAGAACATAGATGACAGCCTCCCGCCGATGAAACTTGGAGAGTCCCGAGATTGGCGTATCTACGGAACTCCTCCGAGCCTCGAGATGGGTTGAGCAGGAGACGCGAGGTGCTGATGGGCGCCTGACAAGAGAAACACAAGGTGTGCTCCTTTACTGTTGATTCAGTGTCGTTCAGCATTGAGTTGCGCAGCAATCTGTGGTATTTGAGAGATGTATGGGACAGCTGTGACTTGATAGCTCACAAATTCTGGTTGGGGTTCTGCTCGAGTCATGCGACCTGTCCGACAAGATCATCAGTGCTACGATAAGGGCGCTCGCAGAGTTCGTCCGACCGAAAGCGTACACTTCCTGATGAATGGCGACATTGGTCTAGACACCCGAGAGCATACAGGAATGAATCACGGAGGGATGTTCAACTGAACAATTGAGCGGCGGTTGGGGTCTGCGGATTCACTTGGTCGCTCTGACTCTCACATCATCTGTGTTCTTTCGCGATCGCCGGAGTGTGTCTTGCGCGAACGCGACGAACTGGCGGCCCACTTGGGTACGTGCAGCATTGAGAATGTTATGTCACGCGCAGGAGAAAGAGACGTATAATATTAGCCAAGATACCAAAAATGAGGAGCTAGGGAGATGTCATGATCAGGCACATGATACTTACCTAGGTGCAATCCAGTGAGAATCGGTGCAAGCTGGTATACATTCCAATGGTGCGTTGATGACCACGAGGTATATGGGCTGCGGGCAGAGAAGCTACTGTTGACATCACTTCCATTACTGATGCTACGGTTATCTAGAACTCAAAGAGGCAGGACAAGGGGATTCCACCCAGTACTGATAAATTTGATAAGAATGAGAGAAAGGATTGCAATTACATTTATATGTAGCACTTGATGGCAAATTCTGGTATAATTTGAGCTCAACAAAGCAATGATATCGATGGTAAGTGGTCCCAGAAAGGCCTGGTATATGGGTATGAATCACACGTTACAGTTCTGCAATAAGGGACTGCGTAGCTAATGAACCATACACGACAGGGTATTTTGAAGGTATCACGGGTATTGGTAAATTTCTGTCTCCTTCACGTGCAACAAGTCCCTATGGCTGAACACCTGGTGATTTAGAAAGGGTTGCTTTTGTGCGACTTATGCGACGCGCTTGGCGGACCCCATATGCTGCTATCGAAAAGCAGATTCGACAGAGGTCTGGCTTGGGAAGCTCTAGGAGGATGACGACTGTTGGCGTCCATTGAAGTCGCAACGTCAGGGAGAGAACGTGTAGAATGATGTCCAAGTGATTGCCTTTTCATGCTGTTGCTCTCCGAGGTCGCTCGAGCGTGGCCTAAGCTCACACAACCACCAACCTCCTTCGAGAAGCTTGGGAGGAGGTCTGCGTCGGGTGGTACTCTAGCAGAGCCCTCACGACGATAAGGCAAGAATCCTGGGTTTTCAGTCTGCGACATAAAGGTTGTCGGTGGGACTGGTAATCCGGTATTGAATGGAGTAGCGTGGCTAGCCGAGAGAGGAACTGATGATATTGAAGCTGGTGCACTACCAAGGTCCCACTGTTCATTGTCCTTTGAGTGACGGAGCCGGTCGATTTGCGAGCAGTAATCCACGAAGTCGTCGTCATCGGAGGAATAATCGTCGTCATTGGAGGAATAGTCGACGTCTGTACCGTCTGACACGTAAGAATCAGAGTCGGAATAATAACCAGAAGAATCGGAGTCGTCGGAGTCGTCTGGTAGATCAAAAGCCACTCTACGAACTACACTTTGTCCTCGCTTGTGCTCATCGGGGTGTCTCGAAACTGGTGGGTATGGGACGCCCCTACATGCTGAGCGATGGTTGAGGAGCTCCTTGCGAGGATAGTACTTGCTACAATCGGTGCACCAGAAGTGATCCTGAGAGAGAAAGACGGAAGCCACACGCCTGGCCTTGCAGACAGCACGGTGTCCCAGGCGGTCCTGGAAGGAATAGGGCGAGTTGCAATCGGCGCAGCGGATAGTCTCGAGCGTTATGGGGCCGGAACTGGTAGACGTGGACGTCGAGCAGGTGGAAGGGGACGACATGTTCACAATTATGATTAGAAAGGACACGGACTGCAACCTTTTATATGGAGAGCGCGTGGCTCGCTTTGGCCGCATCCTACAGCACGCCACAATGGATTGTCAGACACTTGCGATCCGTGCACCGCATTGTGGCACCGTTCAATACGGTGCTCCGTTCCCCTAGGACCTCAAGGCATCTTTCACTTGAAATTGATGCGCTGATATAGTGCCGCAGAACGCAAAGCAGAACTCACCATGTGAGATGAGCCAAAAGTTGGGACAATAAGTCGTGGGTAACCCTCCGCGGGGTTGTCCTACAGCGTCGAGCGGCCAGCTTTCGAACAAGTAAGCCTCCCCGTCAACATTTCCCGCTGGGTGGATACCTAGGTTGGTCGCGCAGAATGTGCGCAGCAGCGGCCGCGGGAGGTTCGAGACTGCGGGCGGGGAGAGTAACCCGGTTAGCGCTCTGGCGAGAGAAATTCTGGCTTCGTCAAGCAAATCAGAGACGCCCCCGAAGGCGAGAACCAGAGCGGCAACACGTAAGAGAGCAGGTTGTCGTTGGTCGTCCGCGCAACTGCGTTGGTGAGTTGCAATCACAGTGCGACAGCGGCGGCTTTCTCGCCCGGAAATGCTCAAATTCTCTGGCTTCCTCCTGCTCGTTCTCGGTGTCGGAGCTGTCGTGAATGCTGCCTCTCAGGTGCCTCTTGTCAGTTTGAATGGCATCGCTGGTTTGGAGAGCAATCCTTCAACCCAAGTCCCTAGTGCGGCGGACTACAGACTCAATGATCTGAACCTCTTGTCCTCCGAAGAATTTAGCGTCCTCAATCATCCAGCTTTCCCTCATTATAGCGTAAGGATCAAAAAATCCGATTTTTGTGACGGAAATGTGGGGTGAGTACCTCGTGCACTCCGTCGCTACCAAATGATACCCATTTCAGTGTAGAACATACACAGGTTATATCGACATCTCGGAGGTTCGCCATCTATTCTTCTACTTCTTTGAGAGTAGGAACGACCCCGACACGGATGATGTGGTATTCTGGACGAACGGAGGTCCGGGCGCCTCTTCCGCCATGGGTCTCTTCATGGAGCTCGGTCTGTCTTGCTTATGACTGTGGTGCAGGCGGACGCTGATATGACTGTGATATATTGATTGCAGGTCCCTGTCGAGTTGCTGGGCCCAATAGCACGACGTACAATCCCTATGGATGGAACGACAAGGCGAATGTTTTTTTCATTGACCAACCGGTCGGCGTGGGCTTCTCATATGCTGACTACGGAGAGAAAGTCGTAAGTTAAGCAAAATAGTGATTCAATCGGTCATTCACGCAACAAATTTATGGAAAGGAAACTACTCCAGAAGCAGCAAAGGACATTGCAGCGTTTGTTGCCATTTTCTTTGAGCATTTTAGCAAGTTCAAGGGGAGGGGATTCCACATGGCGGGAGAGTCATACGGTGTAAGCTTACTGTGAAGCACAGTGACTTTCGAACATCATAGTAATGCCATTTACAGGGACGCTACGTGCCACTCTTTGCTTCTGCGGTATACGATCAGAACGCGAAGCTCATTGAGGCGGGCCTCACGCCCATCAATCTATCCTCCATTATGATAGGTCTGATGATTGCTACTTCATTAGTGGTCCCATGTTCTGACCGACTCGCTTATTAGGCAATGGATGTACTGACTTCAGCTATTTGATGGAGTCCTACTACGACATGCAATGTACGCCCGTGTCTGTTCCTCCAATTCAAGACATCAGGTTCGTTTTATAAAATACCTTCTTCTCATATTGAATGCGGAAATATCACAGCACGTGTGTTCGCATGAAACAAGCGGTGCGGTTTGGTCTCAATCCACTCGCAAACGCCATCGAACTTCTGTTATGGGATTCGTATAGGTACCACGATGCGTTCGAGCCATGAGAAAATCGTGCATTGAAAGCTTTGAGAGCATGAACTGCGTTGCCGCTAGTCTTTTCTGCGATTCGGAGCTGGATGCCCCCTTTGCGATGAGCGGTACGTGTATGACACAGCATTGTATGAGCAAGTTCGTGCTGACAATTTGAGCTAGGATACAACCCCTACGATATCAGCAAGCGATGGTGAGACCAATTCTTTTGTCCCGCGACTGCCAGCTTGCTCATAGAGTGCAGCGAGGGCGAATTACTGGACACGTTCTGCTATCCCCTCAATAAGTATGTTCTCCCCATCTTTCCTGCTCACCTAAGCTCACAGCCTCATTGCAGGGATATTTCAGCGTACTTGAGCCAGCGCACCGTTCGAGAGATCCTCGGCGTGGATAATTCGTTGCCATTAAACTTCTCTTCGTTTAATGTCGACGTCAATCGTGCCTTCCTAGGGAACTGGGACCATATGTTCCCCACACAGCTCTACATCGCTGCGCTGCTCGAGCGCGGCATTCGTGTACTCATCTACGCCGGATCATATGATGTGGCATGTAATTGGGTATTAATTTTTTGTCTCTGAGCGTCTTAAGTCTCCTGACCTTCGGGTATCCAGGTGAGCAACGAGCGTATGCTGCTCAACATGGAATGGCTTGGCCAGGAGGAATTCCGCTCACAACCGCTGAGGGAGTGGACGGTCGACGGTGTTCATGCAGGACGCACCAGGAGTGCTGGGCTTTTGACTTTCGCAACAATTGATGGTGCGGGACACATGGTGGGTCCCGGAGTACTGTGACAGCTTGACTTTTCATTTTTCTGATGCTCCACGTGCAGGCTCCTTATGACAAGCCCGTAGAATCTCTGGTGCTTGCGAACAAGTGGTTGGCTGGGGACGAGCTGTAAATATCACGATAATGGTTACCGTTGGAGGTGAACAGGTTGGTACAACCCACAGGGGAAGTGCCTGTATTGCTCTCAAGCGTCGTTTTGTTTAAGGAAGAGCGATTTCAGGCATTATAGGTTGCACCATTCGAAAAAATCCTATTGTCGATCTTACCCACGTTCTGAAGCGCTGCTCACCTTTTTCTTCCCTCTTTGTGTAAGGGACAAATGTGCGTGTTGACGACGAGTGACGGACAATGTCAGCCGGCAAGGACAATTGTACAGATCATTCGAATCTCCCGAATCTTACATACACATTTCTTCTTTATTGGTTACTCAAGCAGAAGGGACACTGCGTTTCCCAAATGTTGGCTCTATCTTGCGGTTGCCATCCATAAACTCTTTAACTTCCTCATCCGTAACCTTTGCCCTCCGCTATCGCGACCACCATTATTAGTACGTGCTGAAGTAGATGATCAAAAACACGGACCTCCTGGAAGCCCTTCACAAAGTCCTGCAAATACTGAATGCACTTGGACTTCATTTGTCCTGTCAACAGACGGCCAGCCCGGTATTCCTACAACAACAGAGGCACGCGTCAGATCAAGAGCTGAGAAAAAGATGCGACGGCTGACTTCGCCTATCTTGGCCCACTCCTCATCGTCCTCCATCATAAAGCCCAAATACTGATACGCCACATCTACATCGGGGTTCCCGCCCAGCCTTCGATGCTCTTCCTCCGTCTCCTGGCCGCCAGAGAATCCATGTCTATTGATCTTGTTTTTAATCTGCGCTGGGGTATCGGTCATGTAGATGCTACTGTTAGCGTTCGACGCGCTCATCTTCGTCTGCGGGCCTTGAAGCGCGGGGAAGAATTTGGAGTGCAGCAGAGCGGGTTTAGGGTACTTGAGCTTGACGGCGACATCCCGCGTAAGCCTAAAGTATGGGTCCTGGTCTATCGCACAGGGAATCAGGCAGGGGATGTTCGTCACTTCGCCAAATATTTGTGGGAAGGAGTTGGAGAAGGAGGGAGAGGCTTGGATAGCCGCGAAGTGAATCTTGCCGATGTTGTCGCTGGGAGTAAAAAGTGAGTTAGGGTATAGAAATAACAGAGCGAAAGACAACGTACGAGTCGTTAAATCCAAAGGTAGCTTTTGCTTGATTAATAGTAATTTGACGGGAGACCTTGGATACGTTGCGGTAGAACGCTCCACCGACGTAGTCATAATCACTGAAAATGAATGTCTTATCCTTTTTGAACCCGACGGCAATTATATCTTTGGCATTTTGTTTCGAAAATGCATACGTCTGCTCAGGCTTCAATTCATGCTTGAAAAGGAATTTCTCGTCGTCTATATCTCGAACGCTCAGAACAGCAGGACGTTAGACATGTGAACACCATACCCGTCAGCTGAACCACTAATGGAACATCGAAAACATCCTGCAACCACCTCCCTTACAGTTAAATGATGACAAGCTGTGGAATGCATAACATGGGACTCACTTTGTGAAAATGAAAGGCACCATATGCCCTAAATGCATACTGTCACTACTTGGTCCACGCCCAGTGTATAAGAAAAATGGTTTTCCCTGCTCGTAGCGATCCAAGATCTTGTCAAAATCCCTTTCAATAAGTCAGATTTCCTCCACGATGCTATCTGTGTTCGCGAAACTCACCGATGCGAGAAAAACATGCCCCTGCGCATCAGCACATGGGGTTTATGCCCCGTCAACCGCTCAAAGCGCTCTAGCACGGCCGCATCTACTCTTCGTGTGCCAAACTGGTCAATGAGTTTGTCGTAATCGATCGCCAGTTGCTGGCCGTCGGACGATACAGATCCCTGGACATCCCACGGGGTCACGACTTGGTCGTGGGCAGACGATGCGTCTACGGACTTGATAGCAGGGGCAGAGCTCTCCCCACCAGGGGTAGAATGGGTGGTCGCATTTGACTGCAACGGAGCAGATGCCGTAGAGGCCCCCAGTACATTTGTCCTGCGAGGATGCGTAAGATTCCTTAAGCTCCGTGACTTATGTCGCGAGTGTTACTCACGCATTAAGATATGTTCCTTCTAGTGAAGATGTAATGTTGTCGACGGCGACGGGGGCGGTGGGGTTTACAGAGAGCTCGTCGGGTCCTGCAAGGGAGACACCAGAAGCCATTTCGTATGATTTTTTCTTGATCGTCAAAGAGGTGGAATCAGCGGTCCACAAGGGAGGAGGCGGGAGGATGTGGAGGACGGGTCGATTGGCGATCTTCCGTCCGCACGATCGAGTCAGATTGATTCGACCGTTGCCTTTTCTGGAAAAATGCGATCATGCACTGCTACTAGCGGACTAGTTGCAGTCTCTGGGAGAGCGCGACACAGATCTCGTCCTCTCCGCTGACTAGCATCCTCATTCTGAATAAGGCGGTGGTCAGAGGCAGACATTTCGTATCCAATCGCATGGAACAGCTGGCACCCGTCGTCTGGTCTGCTATCGAACTGGCAGCGACCAGCCGGTTAACTATCTCTTCACGATGGAAAAAGACGTCCGAGGGATCCCTCCTTTCTGCCTGGTCAGGTTCATCTATCAGATTCATATACTCCGGCTCAGCACTCGAGCTCAAGTTTGGCTCCCGCACAGAGCGCAAGGACAGATGGAATGGCGGCACCCAGATGCTTGAATGTTCTGTCATCCCCACTACCTCGAGGTCGAGTGATCTCAGACGTGAACAAATACGCAGGTTCGATGCTGAACTGGGTTTCGTATTTTCACTCCCTCTCATCGGCGAGAAGTGCACCGTCTGTGTCACTCATATTGACTGGGCATCTGTTGTTGAGGTGGAGTCCTTCTTGGTTGGTGCGGTATAGTAGACGTCTTTCATCCTCCCTGGAGACTAGTTATTTATTATATCGACCAGGGTGAAATCATTGAACCATTCACGGAAGCAGAACAATGGCCGACGGTCATGGTAATGGGCGATTCAATATCGTGCGGATACGCACCTTCGGAAAAGGAGCCCATTCTCCGTGGATGCTTGGATGCTTTTCCACATCGAGCACAACGCATCCTCGCAGATACCTGTAGCCTCAGCCTCAATATCGAGCTAGTTGCATATCCTGGAGCATCACTCGTTGAACCGACAGACGAAGAATGCGCTGATGGCATACCATTTAGCATACTAACCAAATTTTTCGATGTGCGAGCCAAATACAGTAACCTCTCTTCCTGAACATCTACTGAAATCACGTCCAGCACTCTCCATGGTCCCATCATAAATGGGAAATCAGTGGCATGCCCACCGTCATCGTTATTGCACTTGGTTCGTTTTGGATCCAAATATACAAGTTGGCATCTGATAAACCTCTAGGGACAAATGATGAGAGCAATGATGTCTCGTTTGACCGATTTATTGATGAGCTGAACACATTTAACAAAACCTTGATCAAGGTATTCCCCTCTGTGAAGGACATATGGCTTATTGTGAGTTCATCCGGTGTATCCACCCTCGCCTTTGCTAGTTAACCCCACCCAGCCACCTTTTGAAGACTTCAATGAGACGGGCCACTCGGAGTTCCGACAACATCTTCTTTCTGGCAGTCATGCCGTGCATTTTTCTGTAGATCTACCAGTTCGCATCTGCGATCTACAGAATGTCATGACGAAAGACTTGACGGTCGATGGCTTGCATCCAACAGTCAAGGGCCAGGAAATTCTCGCAAACAGTTTTGCAGAATTTGCACGACTGTGGTTTGGGGCGATAAGCATTCCCTGAACGATTGTATACACCAATCAGGTATCGAAAGCGCATGATGTATGGCGCAGAGAAATATGTTTGCAACGATGCAGAAGTGTATACTCACCAAGATATTCAAACGTCAATGGATGCTCCCTAGTACTTCACCATCTGTGGAATCCATCTAGGTAGCAAGTTTATATCCATGCACTTAAGAAGTCCACCTTGAGTGAACCCTACTAGAGCACATTCAACAAGGGAATAATTTTGATAAATTGACCTGCGATCGGGAATCTCACTCTCAGTATCAGTATACGATCCGGGGCATTACCAACAAGAGAAAGACTATGATACAAGATCAGGCGATAACGTTACACATCCACCAGGTAATCTAAATCATATCTCCTCGTCGAGTGGGAGACACTGCCGATGTAAATCAGAAACAAGTATAAACATCGACTTGAATCACGTACCCGGAACTCAATAAACCCGTCTGAACTACCACTTTCGCGCGTCCTCGGAGTAGGCATAAGCAGCTGTAAGCTTAGTAGACCCTCTTCGTTTATACGCAGCGATGTTTTTGTTGAACTCTGCAATGCACGCTGTGTGCGAGAGATATGGCTGAAACGATAACTGCAGTGTGCAATTCGGTTTACATCTACCCGAGCGACGAATCAAGTGGTGCGCACCTGAAGCTAACTTGTTCATCACACTCGCAAGATTCTAAGACCTCCTTGTCACTGGGATAATCCATCTAATGATGTAAAATCGAGTGTAAAGATAGGAAGACCGGAGAACAATGGATATCACTACCTCGACACTACCGAAGTTGCCCACAGCTTGCAAGCGTAGTCTCGGCGGAGCGACAATCTTAGCGGATCTTCCTGCTGGCGGTGGTGGATTGCATATGATGGTCAGTTTTTCGCAGGATTGATCAATCTCTGAGAGTGCGTCACGAAGCCAGGAAGACTACGATGTGCATAAGACGAGGGATCTGATGAAAGAAACAAGCGAGACTCACGAACCTTCAAGATGATTTTCATCACTCTGCATATGTTAGGCTCATGTACAACGTGATAGACGGGGGACGCGGTGCTCACGTTGGGTATTCGAGAAAATCAAGCGAGAGCATGGGATCCGCTTCGAATGTAGTAATCTCACAGGTTGCGGTTGGGCCATTCGAGTCTTCTGCTCTATGACCGGTCATAAGCACGCAGAGCGACATCACGCACGCACATACATGAGCAACGTCAACGGGAATCCTGAGCCTGCATACGTCAATCGCATTCCAGTTCCCTTCTCATGCCCAAAGTACTGATCTATGCGTCCATTCGCGGGTGTCTTATTGGAGCGGTTATTACTTCGGTTCGAAGCACCCTCTCCGCGGTCGTTTTCGTTGTCTGAATTGGCATCTTGATGCCACCTTCGGTACTTATTGCCGGATGGGATCGCAGATCCTCCTGCTGTCCCGAAAATGTTCATGCACTCAATCAGAGTTTGGAGCTGGATCTCGAAACTGATATTAGGGACTTCTTGCTCTTGTTCGTCGTGATCCCCTGCATCCTGTGGTAGCTCCGGATGATAATTGAATTCATTGAAAAGCCCCTTGAAGATATATGCGGTAGCTATGGAAAAATGAGAACTTGTGAAGCGCTCCGCATGGACGCCGACTGAATACCCACCGAGTAATGTGCGCGATTCCTCCACCGCGACCGAGAGACCATTTTCAGCGACAGACATCACAGCACGCTGGATTCAACGGAATTGGTCAGCTTTTACCGACAAGACCACTGCGATGCGCCACGTACATTCGCGAAGCCGACACCCCGCAAGAGGGCTATCAAGTACCGGACATCATTCACCGACGCAATCAAGACCTTCAAGTGCGAGCCTCTATAAAATGTATGCGCGGAAGCTACGACAGGGACAGACTACCTTGTCCTGCTCCTCATCCGCCCCGTCGTCGGGCATGATCACGGTATGAGACGAAGGAATGAAGATCTCGATCCGACGCGCGTCGGCGGTGTCCAATACATGGCATCACGTGCCCGCGAGCAGCGCAACACTCGCTCAGGCTGCTATTTACGGGAGCGGATGCTGCGCTCGCTGCCCGTCGGCTCACGTTCTCATCGCCTCGTCTCGCGGGTGGTGCACTCCTCCTCCTCCTCTCCCAATCGTCTCCTATTCCCTGTGGGGCTGTTTCCGACCGCAACCCGTACCCCCTCGCCCAGAGCAACAATTCGCTGGGACCCCGGAAGACGCAGTGCAAGCCTCCATGAAGCACATCACCATCGTTAACCACACATCTGAGATCCTCCTCGTTGAGTGCGAGACAAGGGGCAAGCATGAGGTTAAGGTGCTCCTGCCTTCGCTGTACGCGTCGACAAGCATAGACCGTGCCACAGAGCTCACGCTGTCTACACCCGCCACCAATCATGGTGACGCGAAGGAGGGCTTCACAGTCGTGCCGAACGCGTATACTATTAGTCTGTCGATGGACCTCGGGGCAATGTGGAAATTAATGAACGTGCCAGGAAGTTGTCCGTGGCGAATATATCGCTGCAGGGTATGTTTGTGACTGCTAATCCATCAGGTCGTACTAATGACCGTTCATGCTCGGTTCTTGGCGTGTAGTCGTCCCGTAGACACCACCGACTGCTGATCCTGCCTCGTCGCGACCTCTCTTCATTCCTGGCGAATATGCCGGACACGGTACCGTTGTCGTCTCTAACCCTTCCTGGTCAGTGCAGCCGACCCCACTGATGCCAAGCAACTAACACGCGTGGTTTGTCCAGGAACGCATGATACGTGCGCCTCTTTTGCATTCATTCATGCAGAATGGCGCACCTAACGTGCCCACACATCTATAGCATGGCATTTTACGGCTGGCCCATCTCTCAATGCCAGTCACTTGCAACCCCGCTTGCGGTGCAGCTCCAGTCAGGCATACGCGTCCTAGACATCCGTCTGGCGGTGGTAGACTCGCGTCTCATCGCGTTTCATGGAATATATCCGCAACGCACACCCTTCCAAGAGATCCTTGCTACGATACATTCATTCCTCACCGCACCGGCGACGTGCCGCGAAACCCTCGTCATGTCCATCAAGCAGGAGGACTTCCTCAAGACTCCTGCTGCGCTCTTCTCTCAGCTCGTCCACGATGAGATCGTGAATGGTCCGGGCGGACTGGGCATGTGGTTCCTGGAAAACCGAGTTCCGCACCTCGGTGACGTCAGAGGCAAAGTGGTCATGTTCAGTAGGTTCGGGGGAAGTGGTGACGGCTGGGAGGGCGGGCTTGAGGGCCTGGGTATGCACCCCACTGTCTGGCCGGACAGCGCCAAGTCGGGCTTCGCCTGGCAGTGCAAAAACACCTTGGTCCGGACGCACGACTGGTAAGTGGATATGCACGTGGTCTCCACTGCCAGCGGAACTAACGATCAACACAATTCCTTGTGCTGATATCCAATTCATTGCGCGAAATCCCCGCATCGTCGCGTGTCACCAGGTACAACATCCCGTCGTTCCTGTCCATCCCGGAGAAGACGCAGCTCGCGACAGAGATCCTCCTACCTCCGGCGGATGCGCAGCCGTTTCCGACGTTGGCAATCACATACTTTTCTGCATCGAGCTTCCCACTCGCGTTCCCCCCAACTGTCGCACGGGGCTTTGGCTACCCGCAGTACGGGCTGGGCGTCGAGGGCGTCAACGGGCGGGTGGGCAAGTGGCTGCTCGACTTCCTCGGTGGACAGGATGATGTGTGTGAGAAGAGGCTGGATGGTGACGTCCGGATCAGAGGTTGGGCTTTCATGGACTTCTTCATGGATCCGGAAGATGGGGGAATGGTTCCGCTGCTTGTCGAATGCAATTATAGAGGGAGAAGGCCAGGTGAGGAAGGTTGGCCGTAACGAGCTCATAGCCGAGCTGTGAAGGAACACTGGATTGCATTTGGTCGCATCGTTGTTGATCGTCACACACTGATCCATAAGCAACACATTTCTAATACACATGCATCTGCCTAATGGACTTTGGGCTTGCGCCAGCCTAAACTAGCTACGGTTTGTGGGGGGATGTATCAGGCATGTCGCATTTGAGAGTCAGCGATCTACATCGGCTCTGATGAAATCCTGCTGGTCTAAGCAGCATCAAGTGGATCTTGTCTTCCTTGTTGTCCTGCGCCTTTCACAGTCCAGTCGTAGTAATGAGTCCGTTCCGAGGGTTTCCAGGAGTCGAGCGCGGCAATTGCTACTCGTCCCCAGTCATACGCATCATGCTGTTCGAACTCCGGTCCGTCAATGAACCAGACAAGCGCCTCGTTTGGTGCAGGAATAAATCCCTCACGGACCCCATTTCTGATCAGGTCACGGAGAGGGTTGAAGAAGCCAAGGACGTTTAGGATAATGATAGCTAATCAGATATGAGTGGAGAAACGCATGATATCGGGCTAGATAGGTACTTACGCTTCTCGTGTATGCCAAGCTGGGACCAGGAGGCCACCTCGAGCACCTGCACATGACTGAGTAATCGCCTCTTGGGCCTGGAGAAGAGAACAGGCCCACCTCCTCGAACGTGCCATAGCCGCCAGGCAAGCCAATAAACCCGCATGATCGCCGCGCCAGTTCGAGTTTACGTTCATGCATAGAGTTCACAATAATCTAGCGCACAGTAAATGAACCACGAGACACGATGTGATTGCAACACGAGCACTCACATTGTTTACCTGCCAATCCGAAGCCATTGGTTAGTGGGTGCGGAGTGTGAGAGAAGATTGCGACAAACCCTCTCCCGGCCCTTCTCTTGCAAGACGATGGACGGACCGTGGCGTTCTCCTTTGATCTGGTCCACTTCGCCACCGGCGGCAACCATCGCGTAAGGAACGATCCCGGTGACATCTCCGCCAGTGTTGAGGACTGAGCCCGAGACAACCCCCATGAGCCCTCCTGATCCGCCGCCGTAAACGAGCGGCCGACCAGAGTTCGCCAAGGCCTTCCCTAGCGCTGCAGAGTATGAGGGCAGCGGGGCAAGCGGTCTATGAGAAGCATGAAGACGTCGGAAATGACTGAATGCGTACAATTAGCTGCATGAACGTATGCGGGGTGGCCCCCGAGAGAGGAGGCGCAATAGACCGTGACGGCGCGCGTTTCAGACATCGGGCGCTGCTGGGGAAAGAGACAAGGCTGCAATCACATTTGGAGAAGAAGATATATTGGCAAAGGCGTTATGTAGTTCGTGAGTCATGACTCACGAACGGGACCGCAATCGATATCGGCGAGCTCATCAGAGTGTTTCAGTAGCCAACATATACCACTTAGATCACCGTTCATGTCTTATTTAAATAGTGTCAAGTGGTGCTGTAGAGTACGAGCCTATCTGCAGAAAGCTGAGAGGTCGACATTGAATAATGAGGAGCGAAGGAAACAATTTAATTTTAGTCGAAGGCGGAGAGATCACGAGACAGGACCCCGGAGACGCTGGGGTATGTGTGTGCATTCGCAGTGATGCCAAGGAGCTTCAAAGCTGGCGCAGCCCGCTCCCAACCATCTCCTCCTCCCCTCTCTTCTCTTCCTCCTTCTCCTCCCTTATTAACCCTTCCTCTCCGCCCTTTTCTCTTTCCTCCTCGTCCATCATGACCGCTGTCCTTAGCCCGTCGTCGTACTACCCTGGCCCCAGCATTCTTCTTAACCGCTCGCCATCGGCATCGCCGTATTATCATCCTTCATCCCTCCCGCCTCTCGTCCCATCTGGCTATTCCTCATCCTCCTCCTCACCATCTCCCAACCTCAATGGCGAACAGAACTACATCGTCGGCTCGCCCGCATCTCCCAAGAGTCGATCTGCTTCATTCAACACCCAGATGCAAGACCACCCAGCCAAACCTCGCCCCGGCTCGGCCCCCAACTCTTACCGCATTCGCTTCGCACCACTCCCTGATCCCCGTCGTGACGCATTCGCCTCCCTTCAGAGCGAAGAGGACCTAGATCTCCCTTCCGTCTTCCTCGAGGATACAGACAGCTCCAAGCAGAGCGCTACTAGCTATGCTCGCAAGGCGACGCGTAAGTCGTCCAACGCCCAAGACGCGAAGCCCAAGCCAGCAACACCCGGATCCTTGCTTTTTGCCGGCGACCCCGGCACACCAACGCAAGCGTCCGCCTTGACGCCGACACCCGCAGGCGCTGCCGCCATCACGCCCAGACCGGTACCAAAAGCCGCGAGCATTTGCGCCAAGGCGACGCCCGATCTCGACGACGCTGGTTGGGCCCTCCCCCATGCCTCTCCATGCCCATCCAGTATCAGCTTGCCAGAAGAACGCTCCACCAGGCCGAACAGTATCAAGAGTAGCAAGTGGTCCAGGAGACTGATGAAACCGCTTTCCTCCTCGTCGCCGGGCGAAAGCGATCAATGGGGCTTTCCATTGTTGAAGAAGGTTTCTTCCGTCGTGACTGCGAAGGAGGTGGACCTCGAGATCGAGAAACGCAAAGCAGGCAAGCCGCGTTCCAGAAGCACCAGTGGGCTGAAGCTCTTGAACGGTAGAGTCTATGGTGCAAAGCGAGCTGCCGCCGCAAATCTCTTTGCCAGTGCTCGGTACGTCATTTTATATACTTGATATGTGCCTTCATCTTGTTGGGCATTTTTATTTCTTCTGTCTGAACTGGTAGTGGCTGTAACTTACACCATATTGACTGAATAGATCTGAAGAACCTCAATTTGTAGAATGGGGCTATGGCGGAATGGGAAGCGTGCAAGCCGCCAACGTAGGATCCGGAATCTGGTCCAAGTTGCAGGCTGGACAAGGTGTCAGCATTGGTGCCCATGATGCTGAGAGCAGCTTTGGTCGACGCAGCGTGGCGCCCAGTCGAGACGATGACGATGGTAGTGGCATGGCATGGGTGAAGCGGCGGAGAGAGCAGAGAGAGCGAGCGCAGAAGGAGAAGGAGAGCACACAGGCAGTCAACGAAGGTACCGAGTCGCTCCCGAAGGTCTTAGCTAAGGCGGAGACTCCGTTGGAGGTGGACCCGGACTCGAGCGTTTGTGACCCCGATCCGCCGTGCACAGATAAGACTGATGGCGCGAGTGGGCGCGTTGTTTCGCCCTCTCCGATCTCTCCTCCTATCTCTCTCCCGACGAGCGCAGCGACCACTCCTGGATCCGAGGACCATGTTCTCATGGCGGCGTACATTCCGCCCCGTGCTCACCACCACCATTCGGGAAGCCATGGACATGCCCTCTTGCATACTCCGGGAGTCATGGAGAGGGTCCCCAGTGGACTAAGAGGACGTGAGGTGCGACAGAACAGTGCCGATACTATGCAGGTGGCGCCTGGAGCGCTTGAAATACTGCAGACCGAAGATGTCATCGATACTAGCAAGGATGACGCGCTGCGCAAGGCAGATTCTCTCGCCAGTGCGCTCAGCGATGCTTCAAGCTCGACTCTCAGCGAGGATTCTGATGAGGAGGCCGATGCTGATGAGGACGAGCCATACAGTTCGCAGGACAATGATGACGTGGATGAGGATGAGCAGGAGTGCAAGGTGCGTTCCCGATGCGTTCTCTGTCTTCCTCTTCACTATATACTTATGTACACTATCCGTGCATAGCGTATCACCGCAATGGGTGCGGGCGTCGAGAAAATTAGTAGACACAAGGAGACCGCGCCTGCGCAGGGCGAATAACGGAATCCCGTCCGCCACCCAAAATCGAGGCAGCCGTCCGATTGAAGCCCCCTGCTGAAATTCAAACGCTCGCTATAACGCCGCCCGCGGTGCTTGACCGCTGCATATCTCCGCTCTGGGCCCGCTTTTTGCTTTGTGCAATTTGCTGTAGATATCATTCCCACCCGCGCTTGGCATCTTGCACGCCGCTGCAGGCAGCGCCTGTATATGTCGCTGGCATCTGGGAGGTGCTGTGGTGACCTGTTGTTGTGTCTCGATATACCTGTGAGCACCGCGTCGTTTCGTCTCAGATTTTTGTTTTCCTTTGACCATCCCGCATGTTGTTGCGGGATATGTCTTGTACTATCAGTCGATCGGATTCCCATCTCATTTATTTAACTCCCTTCCGTACATTACCATACCACCAGTACCCGCAATATGGAGACTGTAATCCTCTTTCTCTTATCTCTCTTACTCCTCACTCTTCATGAGCGACAGTCTCTCATTCATTTTTTACTCTTATTATCGTGTATATCCTCGTTTTCTCGCTCTCCTTCACCCTGGATCGTCTGCTCTCATATCTTGTTCGGAACCTCTAGCATATTGGATAGTGTGTTGCGTCGCGGGCTCGGGCATCTTTCGATGTAGCCGGGCCAGTGTGCATAGTGTGTACAGTAGCAGTTGATACGGAACATAGTGATAATCGTCCTGCGTCGGATTGACGTCTATCAGCACGTTGGATGCGCATTGCACCACCGGCTGTGGAGCGAACGGTATCTGTGGTATTTTGGGTGAGCAATGGCGCGCCGAGGCCACGATCCGCACATTCCTCGGAACCGGACCCAGTCGGTCAATAATAAGTATCGTCCCTTACGCACTCTCCCAACAGACGCGAGCTCCACGTATACACCAGCCGTCAATGATCCACGGAAGCGCACCCAGCCTATCGCCCTCGGTTGCAGTTGCGCTCATCTACCGTGGACCCCCGATCTCACGGCGCATGCTTCACCCTCCGGACGACCCGCCTGGGCACACCGTCCTCGCGCACCCACTCGCGGACGAGCGCGTACCCGCCGCGCCGGGGCAGCCACACCCACGCCACGGCCCAGTACGCCGCGCCGACGAGCGAGATCGACGACGCCACGACGACGTGCAGCTGTGGGGTGTCTCGGCATCAGTGGGACGGGGCGGACGGCGGGAGGAACGACGGGCACGTACCCAGTATGGCAGGCGGCC